CCGGAGCCTCCCCGCTCACCATGATGGTCGAGTGCGCCGCGTCGCGCACGTTGAGCAGCTTGCCGCGGAGCGGGAAGACGCCGTAGTGGTCGCGCCTATCCACCGTCCGGCAGCCGGTGTGCGGGTGTCGGGCGCACCCCTTGCAGGCGGTCGCGCGCCCGACAATCGACAGGCCCGCGACGGCGAGCGCCTTGGCCGAGTCACCCTCGGTGATGATGAGCGTGCACCTGTTTCCGCAGCGGCGGGGAGAGTCGAGGGAGAGGCTCAGGGGTCGAGGCCTCCAACTCTCTCGGCCGGCAGAGGGGAGTGGTCCGCGCACTTCGAGCCGTTGCGGCCGCCCGCCTCGTTGGCGTCGTCGAGCTTTGGGATGCCCGTCAGGCGCGACTTCTTGGTGCCGTCCGTCTTCTTGAGGTCCTTGGACTGCTTCGACTGCGCGAAGGAGAGGATCGACTCGAGGACGCCGCAGTTGAGCGCGTCCTTGAAGAACTTGTCCGACGGCTGGCACCTGCCGGGATGCGCGCCGGGTCGGCAATGGCCGCGGCGGATAGGGGGGCGGCGGCGACAGAGAGTGGTTGCGAGGTGAGGGGCGCGAGAGGCGGCGGTCAGGAGCGGCGGTAGCGGCGAGGGGTGGCCGACGGTGAGTGGCGGCGGTGAAGCGGGGTGAGGGGCGGCGGCGGTGAGTGGCACTTTGAGCCGAAGGCGGACTGCTTCAGCGTCATGTTCTCCTTGGTCTGCGAGTCGAAGGCGGGGTTCTCGATGAGGCAGTTGATGAAGACGCGAAGGTGCCCCTTGACGTGGTTCGGCTTGAGCACCTGCCGGCAGTAGGGGCCGCACAGGGGCCGGGGTCGGTGCCGCGGCGGGGTCAGTGGCTGCGGAAGAGTCGGTGGTCCGGAGGGGGAGGTTCGGCGCCTTCTCGAGCCCCTTGTGCTTCTTCTTGAGGTGCTCGAGGACGCGGTCCACCACCTGGTCCGCCACGTGGTTGACGTGCGTCCCTCCCTTGCTCGTGGCGATCGAGTTGACAAAGGAGACCTGCGCAAACCCATCCTCGGATGCGGCCACCGCAACCTCCCACCGGTCGCCAACCTTCTCGAAGACGCGCGGCACGGCGTCCGCCGCCTGCTTGGGCCCGAGGAAGAGGTCGACGTACGACTTGAAGTCCGCCACCGGCAGCTTCTTCCCGTTCAGGTACACCTTGACCGACGAGTGCGTGCAGCCCGCCATGTCGTACGCGCGCCTGCTCACGCGAAAAGGGGCAAGGGCAGGCGCGGCGCGGTCGGCCGGCGGGGGCGACGGCGATTGCGAGCGGCCGCGGTCCGCCGCGGCGGGGACGGGCGCCGCAAGGAGAGGTGTGGGCTGGCTGCCGGTCGGCGGGCGGGGGCGGCAGGTGGGCGGCAGGCGGGTAGCGCGGCGGCGCACCGCTCCATCAGAGCGACGATGTCCTCGTCCATGGCGGACATGCCAAACTTGGCGAGGTCGGGGACCCAGCTGATCTTGGTGAAGTCCTCCTTGGCCGCCGCCTTGATCTCCGGCTTGGACTGCGCCGTCATGTTGTCGCTCCACTTCATCTTGAAGCGCTTGCCCTGTGGGGCCGCGCGCCGGCCTCAGCGAGGGCAGTCGGCGGACAGAGTGCGGGGCCGGGCTGCGAGCGCGGCGCCACGCGCGTGGGTGGCAGGCGCGGTGGTTCGTCGCACGGGCGTCGTGGCGCGGCGGGGCGGCCACGCGCGGCGGGCATTGAGGCGGCGCGAGCCTCGGCCGAGTCGGAGGTCTCGACGACAAACTCCGAGGAGAAGATGTTGGCGAGCTTGGCGCCGTAGCCGTTGCGGCCGCCGGTCACCTTCTTCTGGTTGTCGTTGTAGTTGGACGAGGTGAGCAGGTGCCCGAAGATGAGCTCCGGCACGTAGATGCCGTGCTCCTGGTGCATGACAACCGGGACGCCCTTGCCGTTGTTCTGCACGGAGATGCGGCCGGCGGCGGCGTCGATCTCGACGCGGATCTCGGACATGGACGTGTCGCGCTGCTTGTTGTCCGCCGCGTTGACAAGGATCTCGTCGAAGATCTTGTACAGGCCGGGCACGTACGTCAGCTTGCGCTGCGCCATCCGGCCGGCGGCGGCGTCGAAGACCCACCCATCCTGGGTGACGGCCTCGACCGAGCCGACGTAGGTGTCAGGGCGCTGCAGGATGTGCTCGCGCTGCGTCAGCTTCTGGTACGTCTGCTCCACCGTGCCGCGCTGCGCGGCGGCGGGCTTTACCTGAGCGAGAGGCATTGTGCCAGAGAGCGAGCGAGAGCGACGAGAGCGAGCGCAGCGAGCGCAGCTAGCGGCCTAGCAGCCAGTTGAACGAGCGCCACGAAAGAAAAGGAAGCCAGCGTGGCGGCGTGCCGTCCTCCCATCCCTCCCTTGGGTTGTCCGTTTTCTTTCTTTCTTTTTTCCAAGTGCTCCAAGAAGAAGAAGCGACAAGGGAGAGAACGACGAGAGTGGGACGACCGCGAGGTGGCATGAAGGTTGCAGCCAGAATCGGCGAGAGACTGCGAAGAGAGAGAGGAAGAGGCGGACGTCCAAGTGCAAAGTGCCCAAGGGTGGGCGACGGCTAGCGCACCACACCCCTCTCCTTAAAATCCCTGTGTGGTGGCGGCGTGCCGTCCTCCCATCCCTCCCTTGCGCCTTGGGTTGTCCGTTTTCTTTCTTTCTTTCTTTCCAAGTGCTCCAAGTGCTGCCGGGCCTGACTCGGGCCGCACGCGATTCCACAAGAAAGAGACAAAACGCAGTGAGTGTTAGAGTTGTTTGGTATTGAACGAACGGATCTTACCCCGCGCCTGTAACCTCTCTTTAAGGTATTGCTAAAAATCTCCGTCAAGAGACCAGGCGCAGACGACCCGACGGACGGCTTCTAAAACGGATGGTGACGGTCGCGACGTGGCGGTGGTCAATATAGAGAGACGGCTCGGAACACGGATGTGACAGGACCATCGGGTCCTTCAGCCACCAAAGTGAGATCACCCGAGTGCCGAGAGCACCTGAGCGCCTGCCTCTGGCCTCGCCTCCCTCTCCTTCAGGCATTTATTCGTGGCATCCTATGGGTCGTCCAGAGTATCGACCTCTGGCTTGTCAGCCGCCCCACCGAGGGCACCATGAAGTATAGCGATCGCCATCTCGCTGGCCTCTCCGCAGGGCCCCCCGACCGCGTCGAACTCATCGGCGCGGGCTCTCTCGGCTACGGGACCGGCCCCAGCTTCGGCTGAGGGCTAACAAGCTGCCGAGCCCAAATCACTGTGTGAGTCGTGATTTCTTGTTGGTTTTCAAAAATCTCTCTCAATGTACATGTAGGACGCATAGCACGAATAAATATGAATAAATATCAAACCGTCGAATTCGACCAACCCTTTTCCTGGCTCACAAGCTAAAGATGTTCACGGGCCCCCACAGGGAGGGAGCCCCGGGTACTCTTTAGCTGTACTCGTCTAGGCAGGGGTTGGAATTCGACTCCCAATCAAAACAAACAAAACCCTGCATCATGACGGGGGAAAGAAAACGGCGAGCGATCCTATTATGCAGCCTGTTTGTCCCCCGATCTTCACGCTGCGTTCAAGCTGCAAGTTCAGTTCGCGCTCCTTCTGATCGTGCGTCCGTCGCTCCGTGCAATTCCTGCTCCTGCCAGCCGCGGGATATGCCACGGTTTGCGTTGCAGGCGCTCACCACCACGCAGAACCTGCACGTGCCGTACCAGGACAAGCTGTGGGTGCAGCTCATCTCCTCCCTCGGCCCGCGCCTAGCCAGGAGGCACCTGCTGGTCGACATCCGGCAGCCAAGCGCGCCGGGCAAGCTGGCGTCCGCGTGCGGCGGCCGACGCGCAAACGCCACCACGCGCGTCCGCCTCTGGGACCGGGAGGAGCGCGTCGAGCTGCAGCGGCTACACTCCTCCCGGCAGGAGAGCCACTGGGCGTGGCGCCTCCTCCCCATGGTGGCCGCAATGGGCATGTCGGCCACAAACTGGTCGGCCGTCTCGCACCGACCGCCGGGGCATTCGGCGGGGTCGGGCATCGGAGGCAAGGCGGCCGCCCTGCTACACTTCTACGCCGCCTGCGAGGAGGAGTTCTGCGTCTTCGCCGACGACGACCTCTTTGCCCATGCGGCGCCGGGCCGCGGCTGGGTCGAGGCGGGCATGGCGCACCTCCGGGCGCACGCCGAGGCGCTCACCGTCTCGCCGTGGCCGTTTGCGGGCTTCAGCGTGGCGGCGTGCCGCTGCGCAGGCCACGCCGCACGCTGCGGGTGCATGCCGGACGTCTCGCCAAAGCCAGGCAACGCAAGCCGCCCCTCATCCCTGGTGCACCGAGACCAGCACAGCGAGCGCATCTTTCTGTACCACGCGGAGCGGATGCGCGCGTTCCTGCGCTCGTCCTCGCCAACCTACCCGCCGCCCGCCGTGTTCGAAGACTGGGTCAACGCGCAGAGCCGCGCCCGCGGCTTCCACCACGGCATCGCCGACGCCGCCCTCGGCTGGGTTCTGCATCCGCCGTACAAGACGGCCGAGCAGGCGGCGCTGTTTGGGACCGGCTGCGGCAGGCGGGGCGCGCTGCTGGACGCGGTGGCGCGCGGCCGTACGCCAGCGGTCAGCTCGTGCGGGCGGGCATTTGCGGCCTGCGGCAATATGGCGGTTGGCCCGTGGACAGTGCTGGCCGAGGCCGAGCGCGGCGAGGCCGAGCAGCCTCGGCGCGAGCCTCGGGGTCGTCAGGCTGTCGCGGCCCATGGGCAAACGGACGACGGCAACTACAGCACTCGGCAGAGGGCTGGACGTTGAGCTGTGCGTTTAGCACTGTCAATGCACTGCACATATGTCGCAGCACGCGCAGCACGCACCCACGCGCCACACCACTCACCAGCCACCACGCACAGAGGATCGCAGGTGGTGACCGCAGTGGACCGCGACCGGCCCAGCCCGCGGCACCCCCACTCAAAACATTACAAAACCACTCTGTCAAAGTGTCACACCGCCCGGCTTACGTTAACTCCCCGCTTCGTCACCCCAGACCGCCTGCCCGCCTAGGGGATGCTCCTCCACTGTGCTCGACGCTCGTCCCTTTCGGTCCACCGTCGTGGTCGTCACACGCAATGTCAGCGTCCCATCGCCTCGCCGCACCACCCGGCGGGTTACGCGTGCGGAGCTCTCGCCTCCGCCGCCGCCAACCCCATGCGCGCGTAGAGCGTCGTACATCCGCCGCTCCTCCGCGGCCCACGCCTCCGCCACGCTCCCTCCGCGCCCCAGCAGCCCGGCGAGGCTGCGGTACGCCTCTGTTGCACGGCGGAAAGACACGGCGGCCGCCTCGCGATCGGCGGGCGGCTGGCGGTCCGGATGGTGACGCATCGCCGCCGCGTGGAACGCCGCCCGTGCTTCATCAACTGTGGCGCAGCGGCTCAGGCCGAGCACCGCGAACGGGTCGGCGCCGTCGTCGAGGGTGGTGCCAGAGGATGAGGAGGCGTGGCGGGCGGCGCGAGTGGATGTGGAGGCACTGGCGAAGGCACTGGGCAGCCTTTGGGCGCACGGCGCTGCCGCAGTTCGCGCGAGAAGCATCGCCTGCGGTGGCGTCTAGGAAAAAGAAGGGTGATGCTCTGATAAGCCCTCCGGATCTTCGACAAAGGTCGGATATTTCTTTTTTCAAAGTGCAAGGTGTGAATAAGATGTTTATGATAGGGCTACTACGACGAACTATGCGGCAATCGACTGGGCGCCTGGCGCCCGACCACCCCCGCGCAAAGACCTCGTAGTAGCCCTCCCCGTAACCGACTTGGCCGGACTTGTCCAGGCCGCTGTCGCCGCGCAGATCGGCGCGAGCAGTGAGTCGCTCGAGGGGCTCTACTGGCTGGCGGTGCTCAAGGGGAAGGCGTACACGCTGGCCGAGGACACGGTCGTCAACACCGACACCATCCCCGCGGGCTATCTCGTGGTCAAGGCGCAGTGGCTCAGGCTCGACACGAGCAACGCGAGTGCGAGGGCAAGCTTCGCTCCTACACGCTGCTCGAGGCCGAGACGCTCATCATCGTATATCACATGGTGCGGCTTGCGCTTCTCGCCCGGCCCGGGCGGCCCTGCGGACCGCCAGCTGAGGAGCGCGCGCCAGAAGCTCTATTATATTGGCCTCAGACGCATTACTCGCTCGAGGCGTGCTGCAGTGAAGACCAGTCTTATCAGTTTGTTTGGAGGCGTCGATTTGTGCAAAAATGTGTGTTAGAGAGCGCTAGATGGCAAAATTTTCTTCGCCTCCGGCGGGGCCGCTCGCCGCGGCGCGCGGGGCTAGAGAGTGACTTTTGTCGATGTCGGCTAGAAGTGCTGCACGTTTTTCAGAATTTCACCCAGAATTTTGGCGCGAAAAGAAATCGCGCTGACTTTTTTCTATCACGCACAGAGCGACACGAGCGCGTTCCTGGGCGACAGCATCTCGCCGTCCCACTCGACGCTCACCCTCCCACCCCTGTCGCCGCACTCGTCGCGCGCGAGCGACGCCAGGGTGTCCACGAGCACCGCGTAGTGCTCGCGGCCGTCGCGGCGCGCCTCCGCGCGCACGCGCTCCTTGAGCGACCCCTTCAAGCAGCAGGGGCAGACCACGACGGCGTCGACGGCGGGGGAGCGCGCGGCGAGCGTGAGCAAACGCGGCGACAGCGCGCCGCACAAATGCATGCCAACCGCGACGCAGGCAGCGGCGTCGGCACGGCACGCGGCGAGCGCTGCGGCGGCGTCGCGCGAGAAGAGGTCGCACTGCACAAAGTCGAGGTTCGGGCGCGCCTGCACGGCGGCGAGCGAGCGGCGGGTGAGCGAGTGGACAGCGTCTCCCGGCGGGCGGTACTGTCAGGAATGCGCACCCTGACGTGCGAGAGCTCCATCTCTCCGTTGGCGTCGAGCATGTGCACTCGCGCGCGCGGAAACTCGAACGAGAGGACGAGCGCCGTCATGCCCTTGCCCGAGCACACGTCGAGCAACGCCGCCCCCTCGCCGTCGGCGGGCATGCCCAGCGAGCGGAGCAGAGTGCGCACCCGCTCGGCGGCAGCCCACGCCTCGCTGCAGTCCTTGCGGACCGACCTGGAGTCGCGCGCAAACAAGCGGCGCACGCGGTCGTCGGCGATCGCCTCCTCGAGCCACGGCGCCGCAAGCAGCGCCGCGAGGTGAGAGCTCTCCCCCTGCCTCCGCCGCAGCGCGTCGAGTGCAGCCTCGGGTGGCAAGCTGCAGCGCCGCGCTGCGTTGTGCCGGCAAGCTTGCACAGAGCGCGACGTCTGCACAGAGCGGGAGCCTTTGTCAATATCGGCGCGCAGCGACGGCGCCGCGACCGTGCCGAGGAGCGCTCTCCTCCCGCTGGCCGACTCTGCATGCGCGATGAGGTCGCCAAGCGCGTCGGCCGGGTGCGGCTTGCGGCAGCGGCCGGTGCGGCAGCCGCGTCCGACGCCGAGCGCCGCCGCGATGGCCGTCCCGCAGTGGCCTTGGAAGAGGTGAGCGCGGCTGCCACCGCAGGCGCAAGCCACCCCCTTGACGTGCTGCCAGCACAGCAGCTGCCCGGCTGGCACTCCGTCGATCGTCGCCTCGGCGCGCGCCTCGCGAGCAGAGTACTGCCACGGAGCCGGCGGCGCGGCGCGGCGGGCGGTCGGGCGGGAGGGGGCGAGCGCGCCACCGCGCAACCGCGTGACCCCGCCAGCGCGCCGCGCCGCAAGCCCGTCCCACAGCCGCGGCGTGCGCGCGCCGCGCTCCGCAAAGATGAAGGCATTCTGGAAGCCGCCCCGCACCTGGACTCGCCTCTCCTCGACCGCACTGGCCCCGCCCTGCCCGGACTCGATGCCCTGGAGCAGGTGCCCCGTCCACCGCTCGAACCGCGCCGCGAGGTGCGAGCGAGGCGGCCCGCGCCACACGCCGCCCGCCTGAAAGCCTCCCGCCGCGGCAACGTCGGCGGCGGCGAAGCGGTGGCGGCCAATCTCAAAGAAGTCGCCGCGGCGCGCGTGGACGGGCGGCGGCAGGCAGCAGGGCTTGAGGGCGAGGAAGGTGCAGCGAGGGTGCGAATTGAAGAGCTCGACCGCGCGCAGTGAGAGGGTGCCGCACAGGTGGACGCCGAGCAGCAGCACGCCGCCGTCCTCCTCCCCCTCCTCGGCGGACAGCCAGCGCTCGCCCAGCGCCTTGAGACTGCAGCGCTTCTTGAGGTCGATCTTGCTGGTGCACAGAGGCACCGGCCACGCGTCAGCGTAGCGGCCCCAGAGGTGCTCCGGGTTGATGTGCTTGTCCTGCACGGCCACGTCGTGCCTTGGCCACGCGTTGTCCACGAGCACGCAGCCACGCACGCGGTCGGTGGGCAGCATCTCGGCGAGCAGCATCGACAGGTATCCCTTGCCGCAGCAGAGGTCCACAATCGTCACACGCCGCGGCTCTGCGGCGACATAGTCACGCACCGCCGCAATCACGGGCGCCGTCTCGACTATCTCTTTGACGAGACGCTCGGGCCGCAGCAGCCGCCGCCAGAGAGCCTGGTTGCCGCGGTAGCGGCGGCGCCACCGGCCGACGCTAGCGACTGCGTCTGCATACACGTCGGAGTACACGTCGGAGCCGGGAGCCTCGGCGAGCTCTCCCTCGAGCCACGCCAGGAAGGCGAACTCGCCGGGAGCGGGCACCGCCACAGAGGAGAGCAGGCGCGGGGCTGTGGCACGAGCGGGAGGCCGCATATTTTCAAAGGCAGCATGCACTGCGAGACTTCAGGCCGGCGAGCCGCGCGCGAAGCCCGGGCAGCGAAATGCCTGAGTCGACGCCAATCTCCGCGCCCTTGTCGTGTCAGTGTGCTAAAGAAAGAAAACAAAGGGCCCAAACGAGGGATGGGAGGAGGCCATCCTCCCTTGGGTTGTCGGAGTTCACCGTGTTCTTTCTTTCTTTCTTTAGGAGGACAGGGTCCCCCCCCCACCTCGGTCCTCGCACGAGCAGGATTTTGGAAGGACGATCAGGAGCACAGGGGGTTTGGTATTGCTAAAAAAATCTCTCTCTCAGGGGGTTCTCCGGTGTCAGTGTCTCCTTGTGTAGTGCGCAAGAATTCTTTTGTGCATAATATACACGCTGGGTTCCGGCTCCTAGCCAATTAGGGGGTCTGTTCCCCATGACTCGCGCCAAAACGCCCTTCCTCCCTACCTACCCCCAGGCCGCGCAGCGAAGCGAAAAAAGACGAAAATAGGGGGTACTTGTAGTATAGTAGGGTGAGAATTATGAAAAACGCCGGAATTCGGCGAGTCGCAATTACATCCTCTTTCTCATCTTTGGCAGTCAAGTTCCAGTGTCAGTTTCTTTTGTGAGGCAAGTTTCTTTGTGCGCGCCAGTAGTTTTCTGAAAAATTCTTCTTCTCTGGTAGAGCGGCGAGCGGCTTAAAGTACCCGGACGACACCAATAAGCTAGAACCCGCGCTTACCGACAGACTCACACTCAACTACAGTTGCAGGAGCTTGGCCGATCGCGCCGCCCACCCGCTTGGCTGTAAGCGCGCGGTGGACCTTGCAGGCCAGTCGCCAGGCCGAGCCACAAACGATGCCATCGCGTCACTTTCCCTATGGGGTCAATCCCAATAGACAGTCCTTCATCCACCAGTCCTAAGCGCTAAGGGGAAGGCGCCACTTGTTTTTTTCTCCTTTTCAGCCCGGCTCCTACGCTACGCCCTCGCTCGGAAGCAGCGGTGCAGTATCCGCCAGTATTCTCCAGTATTCTCCAGTATGCCCCAGCACCACACCAGTCAGTCACCAACCACCCGGCACCTCGAAATCACCGAAGGCCGCCGGCGACGCGAGCTCGCTCATAGCTCCCGGCACGTACAGCCGCCCTCCCGGACAGTACCATCTGGCAAAGACCTGCTTCGCAGCCCGCATGATCGCAATGTTCACCGCACCGCCTCGCCCAAGCAAGGCGACGGCCGTCGCGTTCTGCGCGTCGCTGTACCACTTGCGGAATGAATTTGCGCTCGCCGTGATCGCTGACACATCGCCACCGATCGCAGCGATTGCGCCTGTGACCACCGTCCGCAGCTCACGCACCAGCTCCACGCTCACACCCTCGCGTCGGAACTCATTGAAGTAGCCGCCCATCGGGAAGGTGTCCTCGCCCGGAACACCCGTAGCCACCCGCCGCCCGACTGCGTTGAAAAGGCGGGCAACATCCGTCTCGGTGATGCACGAACGCTTGCACTCGTCAATCACGCTCACGCGCGCGCCCGTTTGCACAATGTAGAACGACTCGATCACCCCCAGCACGCAGTCCTCCCGTCGAAGGTAAGAAGCCGCGCCAGTGTACTGCTCAAGCTGCTCTGTCTCCCACCGCACCAACGCGTCTGGTGCGTCCGCTCGAACACTCCCTGCGCCGCTCGCGGCACGGAGGCCGTCCCAACGCCCAGTGCGTTCAGCGACCTGCCCTGGTACTCCTTGGCACGTTGAGCACGCCGCGCCGCCTCCCGCCCATTGGCGTCGGCATCCCGCAACTGCGCCTTTGCTTCACCACAGTGACCGCACTTCGTTGATCGTGAATCATTGGGCGTCTCGCGTCGGCAGTAGCTGCACTGCCAGTGCATCAGCCGGCGGTCCATCCGCTTTGTCTTCCTCGCTCGCACCGGCCCGACTCCACCACCACGGCCACAGCCATCGGGCCGACCAATGCTGACTGCACGAGTCAGACAAAGGAAGAGTGCCTCCTCCAACGAAACCGCTGATCGGGCCTGCCAATTGCCCCATCCACTGAATGGGTCCGGCGTACAAAGGCACGCTCGCCGCCGCCAGTAGGGGCTGCAGCAGCACCACCTGTACCGCTGCTCTCGGCGAGGCAGCAGGCGGCGGCCGCTGCTCCGGCGACCGCTGCTCCATTCCCAGCGCCGTGTCTCCGCCTCTCCCCATCAACGTCGGCGCGATTAACGGCGGCAACACCAACCTGCGGTCAGCTACAACTACCAACCCACCTCTGAAATGGTGCCACAACCCTTCTTGCCCGGCATAGCAAAACCAAGCGGCTACAGTACTAGCCCGCCTCAACCCACTTTACCCATGTACATACTATTATACTACTTGTACTCGAGTAGCCGTCTAGGTGGTCTTGGATAGCTTGAGCACTTGAGCACAGGATAGGGTCGATTCCGCATGGTACGGGACCCCTCGATCGTCTCGCCCTCCCTCTTGGATAGCTCGCTTGGATAGCTCGCTAGTAGGGCGGGGTTTGAGGTGCCACAGACCTCCACTGCGTCACTGGATAGGTGGATAGATAGGTACCTTTAGGTAGGTAGCGCGTGTTCTTCTCCCGAACCAGCCGTTGCTGCGCCTGCCTGGGCCCTGGCGCTGGCCGCGCAGACGCGGGCGGGGGAGGGAGGGAGGCAGGAGGCTGCCTGGCTGGAGCACAAGGTGCGCGCTTCAAGAAGCGACGCGGCAAAGGGTGCGTCCCTCTGGGGGTCGCGGGGCTCCCCCCGGCCCACACCGTGCGCCGCGCCGCAGTGCGGAAATGGGACCCCGGCGCTCATCTCGCATACTCGCTCATACTAACCGACTTCCCGAATGGCGAATGATCACGGTTGATCAGAGGGCAGATTTGGAGAGATCTCTCGAGGAGTACATACAGAATTAACGCTCACCGTCCGAAGCAGATTCCATGAGCGCCGACTTTTCGGGGCTCGCAAACGGGAGAAACTCCTCGCCCAGTTGCCGCGAAGCGCCCTCCCCGTCGCCGCCAGAGCACGGGTGCGGCCGCAGCCCAAAGCCGTGCGGGTGGAAGAGCACGAGCGACTCGAAGCCGACGAGGGCTGCGCCTGCGCGCGCGGGTGTGTGCGGAGGGCCTGACAGCGTACCGCCGGCCAACACTCGAGTGGTTCTGAGCGGCGCACTTCTGTGGCAACCTCCGCGCGCGCTCTGTCTCTCTCAGTTGGCCAAGCGAGCGCGCGCGTGGCCGTGCGCACCTGTCGCCGCGCCGACCGCGATCTTGGCGGCGAGGCGGCGCGCCTCGTCGCCTGGTGGCAGGAGCGGCTCCGCCAGGCCCCCGTCCTTGAGCAGGTTCGGAAGCAGCACGCCTGTGGGGTGGACGAGCAGCGGGGCGGCTCTGCAGAGGCAGGCGGTCTGGGCGGGGAGGCGCGGTGGGCGTGATGGGTGTCCAGCCACAGGGACGGCGCACGCACTGGGCAGCATGAAGGTGACAGCCATCATGAAGGCCGCCACCTTGAGCGCGGTGTGCGGGTCTCGTCTCGAGGCGACGGTCGAGACTCCGTGCGAGATGCCTACGGAAGCGGCGAGAGCGATGGAGGCGGCCGACACAAAACACCGTGTGTCTGGCGAAGGGCGAGAACCGACGAGGGATATCCACGAGATGAAGGAGAAGGAGAAAGACGTGAAGAGATCGTCGGGACTAGACAGGTAAAGCCTGCCAAAGAGGCCAGCGCGCGTGCTCTCCGAGGAGCAAAGCACGTTGGCTATGATGTCGACGTTTGACATGTAGAGCGTCAGCGCTCCCGGCAGACGCCGCTGCAGCAGCCACGGTATGCAGTAGAGGAAGAAGCAGCAGTATATCGCGAAGCCAGCGAGATCGTCCACTGCTGTGAGCATCCGAGTTGCGGAGCACTTTTTGACCGTTGCGGTCGTGAGAGGGGAACGCCAACGATGTCTGCAACGCCGTTCACCAGAGGGCCGTAGACCTTAGTTCACAGCTTGATGTGATCAAGAGAAGATGGGAGAAGGAAGAGGCAGACGCCCAAGGCTGGGCGACGGCTAGCACCACACTCCTCTCCTTAAAATCCCTGTGTGTTGGTGCCCCCCCCTTGGGTGTCCTTCTTTCTTTTTCTTTGGGAGAAGGAGAGTGGGTGGGTGTGGCTGTTATCAGCTGGCTGTTATTGATCTACGAACACCCACCGGCAGATCTTGGATTCAGTTCTTGGATCGCGTCAGGGCGCTATTCTTTTTCCTTCGCGGCAACGCGATGGCGGCAAGGCCTCTCTGCGCGCCCGCCCTCGCCACGCCGAAGACCAACCGACGTCGGACCGCGGTGAGACCACGCCGCCCCCCGCGCCCGCCCGCGCCCGCAGCGTGAACACATACGCGCGTCCCTCACCGCACGGAAACATACGCGCCAGCCGCGCAGCAGCCTCACATGCAGCGCCGACCGCATGCTCGCGCCCTGGGCCGCCGACGACCCGGTCGGGCGGGCTGCGCGGCCGCCGTACACCATCAGGCAGGCGCGCGACCACTCGCAGCGCGCCGCAGCCCACCGCGCAGCCCTGCCAGCCAAGCCTGCGCCTCAAAGCTGCACAAACAGGCGCACAACAGAGTACAGCACACAGCACGAGCAGAGACCTACACCTCCACGCGCTCCGCACCGCCGCGCCGATCTTCGCGCTCCATGTCAAGAACACGGAATCGTCAAAATTTGTCTCGTCGAAAGCCAGGGCGGCATCGCGCCGCCGACCAAGAGAATCATCTTCAACTTCGCCAAAGAGGTCGGCAGCCCGAGCGCCGTGGTCCGCACCGACTACGGCACAGCCTCCGGCAGCGCCCGGGGCTTCGCCCAGCACCACTCGCAACAGCTCTCGCGCGCCGCCGTCTGTGGCGACGCGCAGAACATCAACAACGCTGCTCGCAACATGCGTGTCGCGCACTCATTCATGACCGGTCTCAATGTCCCCCCGTCCCCCCCCCCCTGCGCGCGGGCCTTCTAGGCCCGCGGGTAGTATCCCCCCATCCCCAGGGCCTCCAGGGCTCGCACCTCAACCTCTCATAGACCAGCGCACAGCGACATCTTGGAGCACTTGGAGCACTTGACGCGATGTATTTTCTTCTCAATGACAAGGCTGGGTTCCAACTTTTTCCGGGGCGTGGTATGGTAGGCTCGGCGGCCCAAAGGCGGGGGGGGGGGGGGGGGTATGGTTCTGACCGCTCAAGGGTAGCCCTACCATACCCCAAGCAGGTCTTCCAAGAGGCGGGGGGGTATGGTCTCGAGGTGGGCTGGCCGTTCTACCATACCATACCCGGAAAAAGTTGGAACCCTGTGAGAAATGGCACCGATTTGCCACCCTCGCCCCGCGATCTGGTTCGGCGGACCTCGCCGGCATGCAAGCAATATCTCCTCGCGTCCCCGACCCACCACCCTTCCCACGGCGGTGGTCAGCAAAACCGCAGACGAACCTATCGACTCCGGGCTTCGACGCCGGTCTCGTGGCCACAGACTTCCACGGAGATTGCCACAGCCCCGCCTCGCAAAGCAGCAAGACGGTCTACCCCGACGGCTACACAGTGCTCACGCTGTGTGCCGAGGCGACGCAGTTCATCCTCTCGCCAGGAAGCAGGGGTGGCAAATGCGAGGCGTGGAGCATGCAGGCGCGTGAGCGCGAGAGACTCTGCCGCAACGCATGCGCATGCCCATTCTGCATCCGTGACACCGGCGGGCGGTGGACGACTGCGGAGGGCGGTGAGATTCAGGACGTGACGTGGGAGGCGGGCAACGTGAGCGGCAGCAGCCCAATCAGCGGCGAGCCCGTCCGAGTTTGGAGGGGTGTGCTCGTTGGTGACTCGCTCGGCATCGAGTACTCTGTGAGCTTGAGCGGAGCGCCGCACTCGCTCCGCGTCGACAGCCCACTCTGGGTGTCGACCTCGACGTCGTTTGCGGGCTTTAGCACCTCGGCGCCAGCGGACGCCTTTGCCGTCCCCTCCAGCTGCCCTCCGCCGCATGAGCCGCTCACAGCGAACGCGCCGCTCGACTCACCAACGCCGCCAGCGCCTACGCCAGACTTGCTCCGCCCGGCCCGCGTCGGCGCCCCTCCCTCCTTCCCCGCCGCCTTCGCCGCCCACCTCGTGGTCAACATCTCTCACCCGGGGTACGACGGAGGGAACGTGCTGCTCGACTTTGCTGCAGACTGCTCCGCGGGGCCGCGGAGGCAGATGAGCCGCACCACGTTTGGAAACTTCCACACGCAGCTTATGCGCTGCGACGAGGGGCGCGTGTACAGCTTCGACCTGCAGGGCAGCAACTGCGCCGTCAGAGCCATCCCGGCGGACGTCTCACCGCGCGTGTGCGAGGTATGCACGCTGCCCTTTGGGCTGCGCGACACGGCCGGCCTATACACGCTCGATGGCTCGCTCTGGCGCGGCGTGCGCTGGACCGGCGCCTTCTTCGAGGGCGCATCGGTGGTGCACAGTGGGGTCGCGACGACGCGCCGCCACGCGCTGAGCGTGCAGGCTGGGTGGGGCGCCACGGCGTTCGGCGCGCGGCTGCCACAAAGCAGCTTGGTCGAGGAGGCGGGCTGGGTGCGCACGCACGTCCGCCTCTCGCGCTTCTCGGCGGCGGTCAACGCGTCGGACTTTGAGCCGCCGCCCTGCTTCCGCGCGAGTAGGGGAGAGCCACTTGTTGATGTTGTGCGACGGTGAATACCTCTGGAGCCGTCGGCTCACTGCGTGGCTCTGTCTATGTGTACAAGAGAAAAATATGAAGCATGAAGCTAGAAGGTAAAAGTTAAAAGATTTAGTAAAAGCAAGGAGAGATAGAGAGGCTGAACCCCGGTCTGACAGCCGACAGTAAACACCGCACCCCGATACACAGCACCTGACAGCCTGACAGTCAGGGCTCAGTAGAGAGGGAGGCATATACACTTCGTCAAAGGGCAACTCAGACCCAGATCGGAATCCGGAAACTGCCAGAGCGCACCGGGGAGGACACAGAAATCAGAATCGGAAACGACAACCCCTCTCTCTCCGGTCTCCTTGCTTCCGGACGCGACTGTGTATGTGCGTCGCACGCCCCATCAATCTCACCCCTTCTGCACCCCTTCGTTTCACGATCTCACGTCTGAGACACCGGACTACTTAGACGGCCGTTGCGACAGAGCTCTCCGATGTCGAATGCCGCATTAACCCGCACCTCATCGGCGACGTGCCACCAGCAGCCGCGGCTGAACTCACGCGCACGCTTTGAGGCCGCGCAAGCGCGTGCGACAACACACGTGATGCCCTTGGTGCCACCCACGCTGAGCCCCATCTCCTCCTGGTCAGCCGAGAGCAGGACACTCTCGACCGCACTCTCGACCGCGCCCGTTTCGCACATCGGCGGGACGGGCATGATCCGAACTGTGATGTCTGGTGGGGGAGAGAGAGATTTATTGTTGTTCTGGTGGAGGCAAGGTGACGCGCGCGCCCCGGCCGGCCAGCAACGAACGAGCTCCGAAGTTGCACCAGCCGTCCCCGGACAAGTATGAAATATTAATTTTCGCTCACTTCAATGCTACATTCTGTTTCCGCTCCTGACAATAGGGTCTGCCACACACGTCCCATCGGAGCGACGAAGATTGCAAGAAACAATGGCTGAACTGGCAGTGAACTCATCCAACTCAACCACGTACGTTGCGTGCCGCGGAGTGTGATGACGCGTCGCGTCGGCGAACGAGTGGAGCACAAGGCGCTCTTGACCAACGCCCCTGCGGCACGTTCCGCCTCACGCAGCGACGCAGCCCGCCGGGCAGGTCACGGTCGAGGCGAAGAGAAGTTCGCGCCGGTCCTGGGTCGCCGGGTAGTTGGGGCCGGGGGTGCACCCCGCGGGGCAGGTGCTGCACTTGCTGCCGTCCGCCTGAAGTTGGGGCGCATGTCGGGAGCGTGAGTGTGAGAGGGCAAGTAGCCAGGCGCGGCGGAATCGCCCGCGGCGCCTTTTTGAACTCGTAGAGGGAGAGCGTGCCGCTCCACGCGCCGGCGAACATCACGCCCGCGTATCCGGTGGGCGAGTCCGCGGCGGCGAGGAAGGTCATCGACTCTGGGTCCACCTTTGGGAGGGCGTGCGGCGGGGGTGAGTGGTGAGACCGCAGCAGCGCCGGGGGCACGACCACGAGAGTGGCCACGCGCCTCGCCGAGGGTGCCGTCATCGTAGGCGACACTTGGGTTCTTCGTCTCGGACGCGGGCGAGAGGTGCTGCACGAAGAGCAGATCCGGCGAGGCGGGGATGGACACGTCGAAGACGAAAGCCGTGCCCTGCTTCTCGGTCGCGGTCACCATGATATGGCAGCCGCACGCTTCGCCCACGACGACCGCCTGTCAGGGTGGCGGTGTTGTAGCGTGTCGCTGGCGTGAAACGGGGGAGGTAGAGGGCACGTGGCGGCACGCGCCTCAGGCCCGGCGCCATCCTTAAGCGAGCGCTCGTCGACCGTCTTGCCGAGCGGGCAGGCGCAGTAGGTGGCGTCGCAACCGCGGCCCTCCGCCACGTCCTCGTCCGCCACGTCGCACCTGATTGAGGTTTTGGGGAGAGATGTGTTGTGTCGAGTGCCACGAGGCCGGGGAAAGAGGGTGGGCCCCGCGCGTCCCCGCCGCACCCGTCCTCCTCCTTGTCGTTGATCTCCCAGATGGTCTCTTGCAGGCTGGTCCAGCCGTCTTGGATCGCCAGGTACGGCGCAGTGGTGCTCACTTGGCCGGACTTTTCGGCGTCGAAGAGCGTGCCCACGTTGCCGTCCGAGTCGCGGATCATCGCGAACTCCTGCGGAGGTAGCACGGTGCGAGAGCCGTCATCGAGGGCGCGCGGCGAGGGGGGGGGGGGGGCGTGTGCAGAGACCCTCTTGCACAGGTGCGGGGATGACGGGGTGTGCGCTCGCCTCGTCGTGCACGCTGTTGTGCGACCACGGGTAGTGGAGGCACTGATTCTTCTCGAGCATGGACCCCGAGTCCCACACCTGCAGGCAGAGAGGGGCGGTGAGAGGAGGGGGATGAGCCTGGAGGAGCCAGGGCGGCGGTGCTAGGCCCGAATATGACGCGGGACGGAGAGGTCACGGGGGGGCAGTCACCAGAGACATGTCGGACGCTTTCCAGATGGAGAGGCCGCGGCCGCCGAAGCCAACCGCGCCCTTGAAGACCGGCTTCGTCGGGTCCGAGTAGTCGACGCCGCTCGACCCGATGGTGATGCTCATCTTGGTGTCGCCAAAGTTGGCGTACGCGTCCGAGCCGACGTCCGGGGCGAAGAAGGAGAACTCCTGAAACTCGTTGGTGAAGGTCTCGTTCGTGTCGATGACGTCCTTAAACTTTTGCTTGGACTCGTAGTCACCGTACTCCTTGTCGTCGCCCTCGTTGGCCGTCACGATGTAGTCGATGCCGTCGACAGTCAGCGTCGCGATCGCATCCGGGTGGCGCATCGACTTGAAGCCTGGGCGGAGAGGGGAGCGTGACAGGAGAAGAGCGGAGGAGGGAGGGGTTGGATGAGGGCGAGCGGACGAGAGAGCGGAGCGTCAGCAGAAGGGCGGTGGGAGGAGTACGGGGCCGGGCGGGGGAGAGCGGACCCGGCTTGTGCTCGAGCACGCATTTGCCGTCCTTGACGGTGTCGATGCCTTCGGTGGTGCCGTCCTCGCTCCAATCCTTGAGCGGCAACGCGTCCAGCCGCGTGGCGGTGTGGGTCTCCACGTCGATGGTGACGATCGCCGAGTTCTCCTGGCAGTTGGCGTAGACCTTGGTTCCGTCCGACGACCAGGTGAGGTACCTGGGCGTGTGTTGGGGGGGGGGGCGTGAGGAAGAGCTAGTTGTGCGGGTGGTGCTTGGTGTGCGTGCGCGTGTGGATGCGTGTGTGGTATGTTGGGGGTGGGGGGGGTGCGGCGAGGGCGCGTGTTCGGCGCACTCCGGCTCGAGCTGCGTCGCCGGCGAGTAGGCAGCGCGCGAGGCTGTGAAGTTGAGCAAGCCCGAAAAGTGCGCAGAGTGGACGTCGTAGAACTCTTGCGCCTGCGGGACGAAGGACCAGGGGGGCGGGGTCGAGGCCAGTATATCAAACGGCGCTACTAGCTTCGGTGGCGTAGTGAGAAGGTGAGCGGATGATACGCCACGCTTGTGGTGGCCGAGAACAGAGGGAATTCCGCATCCAGGCTCTGCACCTTTAGCTCGAGCGGCAAGTGGACGCCCTTCGCCTTGAGGGCCTCGTCCGTCTCGGCGACGGCGGCAAAGTCGACAGTCTTGACTTCGCCGTCCATCCCCCCGACGTCGAAGCCTTCGATGATGCTCACGGAGCCCACGGGGTCGACCTGTGGCGCGGCGGTGGCGAAGGAGGGGGCGGCGAGGGTGGCGGTGGCGAAGGAGGGCGGCGGTCGGCACGGGTGGCGGCGAGGGTGCGAGCGGCGGCAGGCGCCAGGCGCAGCGGGGGTGGGGCAGGGGGTGGGAGAGAGGCAGGCCCGCAGTGAGGGGGGAGGCACCAGGCCGTCGTCGGTGTACACACCCTCGCCCTCGTTCGCCACGGCGATCTTGGTGCAGTCATGGTTCCACGCCACCATGTCTGGGAGCGGGCCAACCACGTACTTTTGCTTCATCGTCGCGGGCGTCGTCGCGTTCGCGGAAGAGTAGATGGTGACAACCCTGCGCAGAAAGGGGGGCTGTGGTGAAGGCAGGGTGGTGAGGCGAGAGAGATTGGAACGGGCGCTGGCGAGGGAGGTTGGAACGGCTGCTCGCTGGCGAGGGCGGCGGCGCACCCAGGCTCCGTCTTGACCTTGGCTGTGGCGCCAATGGCCACCAGGCCGCCGCAAACTGTCACATCGGTAATGCTTCCAGTTCCCGCGGCCACGGTATCGGTGAGGTCGATACCGAAGAGGATTTGCGGGTTCTTCGGGTCGGCGTAGTCAACGACGCTCAGCACGGCTTGCTCGCTGACGGCGTAAGCGATCTGGCCAAGAGAGGTAAGTGGCGGCGATGAGAGAGGGCGTGAATAAATGCAGTGGGGCATCGTGGAGGTGGCTCTGAACAGGAGCATCAATGAGGGCTTGCCTTGTTCATCGGGTCGTATGCTGACTTTTCGGCGGCGCCCATGCCGAAGGCCTTGTTGCCCGTCGAGTCGAACGGCACGTAGACGCGGGAGAGGAGGTCCATGCCTGTGATGACCCCGCTCATCGATAGTGTGTGCTGTAGCAACAACATTGGGGCACACACCCGCCCGGACAGGGCTGAAGCAAAGAGCGAGCAAAATCGCCGACGGATTCATCTCTCAGCCCCCGGGGTGGGTGTCGGGTTGGGGCGGGGGTGATTGTTGAACTGCTGTTACGTCTTCGGTCCCTGCGGGAAGCCCTGGCGCATAGGACAACAACTTGTTGAGTATGGTTCTTGCACTTGTGCAAGATTGGGCGTCTTCTGCAGCAGTCCCTTTGAGAGAGTGTCCCTGGAGAGTGTCCCTTTGATGGGAGGCCCCAGGGTGGGGGCCACCTCGAACCCCCAGCCAGGGATTCGAGCGGAGGGTGCCCCGGATTCATCTATCCGTCGGGCCCGGAACATTCATTAGAACTGATCACTTTGCGCAGCAACCGTCGGCCGCCGCTTTTTAGCTGGACGGCAGTACGCTGCGAGAGAGAGATTTTGCTGCGCCGTCGCTCTGTCGCGCACGCTCTCGTGCTTCGTTGTGAATTATTCAGTGTGTCCCTGCACTTGTTGTCCCAGGAGTACCCCCCCCCCTTCCCCCGCGCGCGCTGATGAATTCTTTTGTTTTTGTCTTCGCCAGAAACAAGAAATCACGACTCTCACAGTGATTTGGGCTCGGCAGCTTGTTAGCCCAGAAACCCCAGCGTTCCAACTTTGTCCCGGGTATGGTATGGTACCATCCCGCAACCCACCTCGAGACCATACCCCCCCGCCTGCTGACAGACCTGCTTGGGGGTATGGTATGGCTAGTCTTGGGGGCGGGGCCCCGGGGGGGCGGTCAGGACGAACCCCCCGGCGGCGGGACGAGCTGCGAAGAAAATGGGCAGCGGAGACTTGGCGGACCCGCTCGTGTACGTGCTTCGGTGCTCGCACTGCGAGACGGAGCTGACGCGCCGCGGCATGCGCGTGTGGCTCTGCGCCGACAGCACGACACGCCTCTTCTCGACAGACATTCCGACCGAGGCGCTCGTCGAGGAGGCGTGCGCAAAGTCGGCGCCGCTGTGCCACTGCCGCATACGGGACGTGAGCTGCTCCAGCTGCCGAGGCCGCGCAGGATCCTTCCGCGCAGGCGAGTGTGCGCCAGAGCCGCTCACGCCTGCTGTTCCGGCCCTGCTAGGCACAGTCGGCTACCACGTCATCGCGGCCTGCTTTGCGTGCGACGATGGCGGCGAGGGCGACGGCAACAACGGGCACTACTGGCTCCTCCACGGCGAGGGTGTGGCTGCGGCGCCGAGGGAGAGGCGTGGCCGACGGCTGCTGTGGAGTGAGTTGCCTTACAACGGCGTGGAGGAGGGCGAGGAGGGCGGCGAGGAGGGCGGCGAGGAGGGCGGGAGGGGGTTGGCCGCCACGCTCTGCAGCATCTGCGCTTCTCCGATGCGGCAGCGCACGCGGACCCCCTGCGGACACGAGTTTTGCTACGGCTGCATCTCTCGAGAGGCGCGCTGCCCGCTCCCGGCCCCGCGCCTCGCCTCGGTGTGCCGCTGCAGCGAGCAAACCCGCTCATCGGCCTGCCCCCCAGGTGGACGCGAGGGGCTGCTGCCCGTTCGACAGGAGGCCTCTCGCGCGGGAGGAGCTCGTGCGGGACAGAAAGCGGGCCGCCCCGTCGGAGGGCCCCGCTGCGATGAGAACAAGGCGTGTCGGGTCGGCGCAGGGGGTTGGGTCTCGGTGACGTCTAAAAGTGGGTCGTGTCTTATAACAACGCAGAGAGCACGCGCGACCAGCGCGCGACGCGCGTGGGCCGTGTCCATGTTGCATCGTGTTGCATGTGTATACTACGCTCTTGTGGGGCGCTGGGGCGGGGCACCCACCCCCATCTCTTCACACACTCCGCACGGGCACGCGCGCTCGCACTCGCGCACACGGCGGAGATAATAAATAAATAAATAAAAACGGCATACGAAAAACGGAGGTAACGCTAACGGACACCTCTCTCGCTGTGAGATGGGCTTGGGGCTTGGGGGTAAAAAGGAACAGGTCCCCGCCCGTGCGATCTTTGTGCAGGGTTCTTTGTGGGTGTGGTCGGCGACTCCTACGTCCTAGCCGGGGTCATCCTCCCGATGGGGGACTAGCCCTAGCCGTCTTCCACATGGTCCCTCGGGTCCCTGCTGCTCCTAATCTCTTCGCGTACATCCTCCTGCTACTCGTGATATCTCCGCGAAGTCCTGCTCCTTCCCTCGTCTCGCCCTGCGCGTCTGCCCCAATTCTCCCCCCCGTCGTCTGCCCTGCGTCGTCTGGCGACTGGTCCTCCATATAGTCGGTTGAGGTCGCCGCCCTCCTCGTGCCTCTTCCCAACGTTCACACGGCGGAGAACCGGAGTCCGGAGATACTCACTTACTCAGCTCTCAGATACCGCATAGAACATACATTGGTGTTTACACGCATAGAGTTTTTTGACTCCTGATCCTGTTCCGCACAGTCCACACAGAGCGCCTGTCTCATTCATGCGCCACCACTCTGTGCGTGTGTGTCTCATGTCGGTTGTCGCTTGTCGGCACACGTGACACGAATATGTGCTCTGGGACCATATGCAGTGGTGTCCACTGGCCAGTTGAGAGAGCTGTGTACTGCTGCGCTGGCCTCTCGTCTGCGTAAAAAACTGAAGCGCCGCGGCCCGCCAGCTAAAAGATGAGGAAGCGCCGGTTCTCGACGGCGAGGGCCTTAACGTAGCGCTCGTACGACTGCAGTTTCGTCTCGATGTTGGCCTCGTGGCGCTGGTCGTCGAGGGCGCAACGCGTGACGACGTTGCGCTGATAGACTCCCTCCGCCGCCGCCCGCATCGTTGCGAGCTTGGCCTCCCGCCGAGCCCTGGTGCGCGCGGCGTCGGCGGCCTGCCAGGGCGCGTGCTCGCGAGAGGCCGACACGCGCTGAAGCCGCTCCGCCTCGCTCGCGTGCGACGGCGTCCCAGGCGCCGGGTAGAGCGCCTCACGGGCGCCCTCCCTGTGCCCGCGCCCGCGAGGGACGCCGGCGGCCGGGGGCGGGTGCGAGGCAGCGGTGGCGGGTGGTGGCACCGGGACCGGCTCGATGCGGTAGCCCGGCCCGCTCCGCGCGCTGCGTGCGCTCGGTCGCGGGGAGGGCGACGGCTTGGCCTGCGCCTCTGCGGGCTTGGCGTCCCTCCACGAGCCTCGCTCGGCCTCGACGCGATTTCGCTCCAGCCGGGCGGCCGCCGCGCGCTGAACGCGATTGTGGATGGCCTGCTCTGCCTGCGTGAGCGGTGGCTCGGCCGCCTGCGCGTCCCCCGCCCCGACACCACCTTGCGCCTCGACCGAGTCCAACGCCCTCCGCAACTCGGGCACGATGCCTCCACCCTTGATGTCCTCCGGGTTGGTCATCCCCTGCGCGATGTGTGCGGCAAACTCGCGGTAGTCGATCTCGCCCGAGTTGTCCTTGTCAACCGACCTGTACAGCGCGTCGATCGAGGCGGAGTCTGCCACCCCGAGTTGCCCGAGAGCGACATCAATCTCTCGCTTTGAGAGGGTCCCCGAGCCGTCCGTGTCCCAAGCGCGGAAGACCTGCGACAGGACCTTGTCGGGGTCGTACCAGGTCACCAGCGGCGGGCACGCCTTGATAAGCGCCCGCTGCGCCGCCTCTGGCAACGCGGCCTTTGCTGGTGCGGCGGGCGGCTCCCACGGCCGCGGCTGCCGCCTCCGCGCCGTCAGCGGCGCCGGGTCCACCTGGGCGAGTGGGTTGGGCTGCCGCGCGTGCAATCGCGGCGCGGTGGCCGGGCGAAGCCGCCTGGCGACCTCCGCGCGCTGCCTCGGGCTTGCGCGCGGAGGGATGATCGGGGCAAAGCGGTCGTCCTCTGCCGCCCGCGAGGCGGGATCGTCCTCAGCACGGCCGAGCCGCCCCCACTTGTTGGTCCTGCCGATGTGGCCCTTGCGCACCGGCCGCATCCCCGGCGGCGACCGCCCGAGGGGCACGCAGAGCTGGGATGTGGCAGCGGGGCCGGCGCGGGCGCAGGGGGCTGCTGATCACCGTTACGCTTCGGTTCTATGACAAGTTGTGGGTGTGCGGAGTGAAGTGTCTGAAGCTGGGTCCGAGTGTTAGACGCCGACGAGCCACGCGCTCATAACGAGGCTCGCCAAACCAACCCCAAAATCGGTTGGTGAGGTGCACTAACCTCCGAGAAACCCTTCGCGGGTTGCTCCTCATCGCTAACAAACCCTGTCATCCGTCCGGGAATGTACGTAAGTAAAAGGTAAGCCAAATAGTCCGAAGATCCTCATCGCAAACCCTGTCAGCAGTCCACACCTGGCCGCGAGGCCGCGGAGTCCGGGTCTCTCTGAACTGAGGTCTGTCTGAAACCTGAATCTTGAATCATTTAGCTACTCGATCGAGTAAGTACGTTCGAAGGGGGGACGCAAGAGCCAAGTCCCAAGAGGGAGTGCTTCCTTTGACAGCCTTTAGATAGAACATGAAAGAAAGATAAAGAAGAGCAGCTCGGCCGAGGGGGGTGGCAGGCCCAACTTGCCTCTTGCGCCCCAACCCAACACGGCAAAAGAGGGGGGCGCGCACGGGCGGGACGTCCAAACGGCGCGGAAGTGCCAGTGCCTGGCCAGTGCGCGCCAGTCCCGTGCCCAGTGTGTGCGAGCAGGTCGTCGTCCTCAGCATTTGCGAAGAGAATAATCGCACCGATTTTCAAGTGAGCCCCCCGGGGGGACCATCGGTGCCTGCAGAGCGAGCGGACCTCGCGTTTCTTGTCGTCGAGGGCTTGAGTTGTGCTCACTCACTCGGCTCGGTGTGCAAGGCCCCGATCCGCCGCAGTATGTACGGGCAGCCCGGACAGCAAGGGTACGGCATGCCCTACGGCGGCGCGCCCTATGGCGGCATGCATCCGGGCGCGGGAGAGTTCGTCCCCGGCATGTACGGCGGCAACGGCTACCAGCAACCCATGAACGGCGGCGCGTCACCGTACCTGCCTCCCGGCCAGCAGCCCGTGCCGCAGCATCCGCCGCAGCAAAGAGCGGAGCAGCCGCCCACGGACGAGGAGCAGGCGCGCCGCGCGCTCCCTCGCCCTCCCCCTTCCCCTGCTTCTCCCCCGCGCGCGGGCGCCGCAAAACCGGAACGCGCTGCGGACCGCAGGCGTGGCTGGAGACGCAGATGGAGAAGGACGAGCAGGCGAAGCGCGAGGCTGGCGACAGCGAAAAGCTCAATGCGGCGGCCGCGGCGAGCGCAGCGGCGCCTGCGGCGGACGGAGGCTTTGACGACGTCATGAAGATGATTGAGGCGCGCTTGCCCGCCCCTCTGCCCCTCTCTCTCTCTCCCCGCCCGACTATCCGCGCGGTCGTCCCTTCGCGCGCGCCGCCGCGCCGCCGCCCCCACCGCTCCTGCCAACCCCCCTCGCGCGCGCCCCGCCGGCGCCCCCCTTCCCCTTTCCCTCCTCCTTTGGCACCCCCCTCCCCCCACCCCCCTCCCCCCCACCCCCCCCACCCCCCCATCCCCCCACCCCCCCCCTGCCCGCGCCCGCAGGAGAACCGCCGGAAGAATGAGGCCAAGCGCGCCGCGCAGTCTGCCCGCAACGCCGAGATCACTGCCGCCTTTGAGGCGCGCATGAAGGGCGGACAATAGAGCGCCCACGAGCGCAGTGAGAGTACTGCTCGGCCGCCTGGCTGAATTGAACTTTCTACCCCCTCCCCCCTCCGTACCCGCCCCCTGCCCGCCCCCGCCCTCCCTGTGGTGCTGTACGCTCCTCTTGGCTTAGATTCCAGCCTCATGCTCTCTCGTCTTCCTTGTCTGACTCGTCTTCTTCGTTCTTGCGTTGCGTCGGCTGCATGCTTGGTATGCGCTATGCCTCCCTGTATCCATTCTCGCCGGGGGTGTGCGGCGCTGCGGATCTGTGTTCTGCTTTTTACTCGCCTCTGTGTTAGCCCTACGTGGCTGGGTTCACAGCGATTGTAGGAAAATGTCGAAAACACTTGACGGTCGCGGCCTTCCGACTCGCGCCTCCGCCTCACTGGCACTATTGTAGCCCTGGCCGGTGCGCGTGCAGAGTTGAAGTTCCGGAGTGAAAATTCGAACGCGTTCTCTCACGGTGACCAAAAAATGTCCACCTAGAGGCACCTCTGGAGGCAGGCCGCCGCACGCCGGCGACACAGCTCCAGCTGTCGAGCTGACCCGCAGCTCCTCTCAGAGCGGGAACTGTGACGAAAGTTGACTGAGGCGGTTGTCAGGAATCATCATACGGATCACATGGTGGCTCTCTCATGACGGGCAACCGCCCGACCACTCCTGGGTGGCACTGCCACCGGTGTCGCTCGACGTCCTGTCGACAGCGTGCCGACAGCGACACAGACCATGTGGGACGCGTCGAGTATCGACCTCTACTGCTTACCCAGCCTTCGAGTGTATCCTGACTGTGGTCCCACACCCACTGGTGTCCATCTCAGAGACCGCAGGAGGTCATGAGGGTCGATGGGAGTGCCAACCCCACAATGCCTAAAAACCCAGCCCAGTAAATCGCAAGCCCGCAGCGACCAGCGTGTGCGGCTGCGGGGAGGCGCACAACAGTCAACACAGAGAGAGCGTCGCGGAGCACTCCGTCTCTCCGACAGCCAGCGAGGAACACACCGAGATTGGAGCAGGCTCCGCAGCGCTACTGTTAGTTCCTCGTCTCCCCGCGACATGTCGAGTCGCGAGAGCGGGGCGGCTCCGACCGCCGCGCCTAGCTCGCGCCGCTCGAGCTCGCCGCCATCTTGTCGAGCGCCTCGCCCGTCCACCGCCCGAGCGCCATGTTCTCGGCCACCTTTTGGAGGAGCTGCTCCGCCGACCAGCCGAGCGAGCTCTGGTCGTCCTTTGCGACGCGCGTCCACTCGTCGCCGTGGTGCGGGTCGGCGGCGACGCAGCGGCGCAGCACCTCCTCCTGCTGCTCGGGCGTGCCTATGGGAAGGTCCAGAGGCGGCTCCGCGACGGCTCCCAGCATCCCCACACATTCGTGCTGCGCGGGCGCGCCGTGCTGCAGCTCGAAGGCATAGTAGTTTCCCCACGCGTCGCCCAAGTCCGGGTCGAGGGTGACCGCGCGGTTGCACCACGATCGCGCCTTCTCCTCCTTGCGGTCGCGCCTGAAGCCACGGCGGGGCCGCGTGAGCAGAGAGGCGCCTCGCCCGGCCCCTTCCCTCCCTGCGGCCGCGCCAGAAGAGGCGCGAGACGGCGAGGATGACGTGCGCGTCGTTGTCGCACGCCTGGAGGCATCGGAGAAGCACCGGTCAGTCGCTAGTGAGTCACTGACACCGAAGAGGGGGCGAGGGTGGCGCGATGCTTGCCTTGAGCGCGTCGGACGACTTTGTCTTTTGCTGCGCGCGCTGCTCCATCGCAATCGCCTCCGCCCAGAGCAGCCCCGCCGACTTGCACTGCTGCAGCGCCTTTGCCATCAGCGTCATCGCCGCCTTGCGGTTTCCCGCGCGCCGCTCGAGCCGCACCGCCTCGAGCCACAGCTGCGGCGCGCCTACCCGGAGGGTCCGAGAAGGGCTCACAGGCTCGCCCCCCGGTCCCTGTTCGAGCCACCCAGCCGCGCGCCCGTCCGCTTGAGTCGCGCTACCTCGAGCAGCGAGCGCGCCTTCGAGACGGCGCCGTGCGCCTCCTCGAGCCGCGCCGCCGCCAGCCAGACAGGCTCGCAATCGGGGCACACCTGCGGCGGAGGGGAGGGCGACACCAACCTCGGGACGCCTCGGAGGGAACCTCGGCATCTCTACGCCAGGCTCGCAGCCATCTCTCGGCCAGACTCGCCGCCGGGGCACACGGCCGAAGCTGCGCGTGTCGCGCGGTGCGGCTCTCGCGGCCAAAGCTTCTCTGTGTGCGGCCGGGGCAAGGCGCTGTGGGGCAAGGGCGCTGTGGGGCAAGGGGGCGCTGCGGGTGCGGCCGGGGCGCCGCACCTTGACGGCGCGCGCGAGCGTCTCTCGCGCGGCGGCGTGCTGTCCGGCGCGCGACTCGAGCTGCGCCTTGAGCAAGTGCAGCTTCCAGAAGCGGGGGTGCGCCTTGAGCGCCGGGCCGAGCAGCGCGAGGGCGCTCTCCAGCTCGCCCAAGTCGCGCTCGAGCGTCACAGACTTCATCCACACGCGCTCGGTGCCCGCGCGCTCGCGCGCCCGCGCCAGCAGCTTGCGCGCGCGCTCTGGCTGGCTGTTCTCTGACTCGAGCTTCTGCGCGGCGAGCCAGACCTGCTCCGAGTCCGGGTTCGCGCGGAAAGCCTCGTTAAGGATGGCGCGCGCCCCCTCGACGTCGCCCGACTGCCACTTCTCCTTTGCCCCCATGAGCCACAGCACCTGCGCCTGCGGGCAGTACGACACCGCGCGCCGCAGCAGCGCGTCGAGCGACTCGCGCGTGCCGTGCGCCTTTTCGTGCTGCGCCGCGCGCACCCAGACCGACTTCTTCGTCGGGAAGGTGGTGAGCGCGACCGCGTAGATGGCGCGCGCGCACTCGGGGCAGCCGCGCGCGACGAGAGAGTCCGCGTCCTCCATCCACATCCGCTTGCGATCCTCCTCCTCGACGCCGAGGCCGATCGCCTGCCCACACGAGGCAAGGGCGTGAGCAGGCGCCGTCCTCAGCTTCGCCGCGCCTCCTCGCGGCCAAAGCCCGTCGCCTCACGGACGATTGCCTGTGCCGTGCGCGGCGCGGCGCCCTTCTCGCACGCCTCCGCCTCGGAGAGCCACTGCTCGCGCTCGAGGTGCACCTGATGGCTTGCAGGGCGTCCGTCAAGCAATCGGGCAGCCAGAGAGGCGCTGCTCGAGGGGCGGCGGCACCGAGTGCAGCGCGAGCGACTTGGACGCCTTCTCGATGATCTTGTCCACGATCTCGAGGTTGCCGTTGGCCTCCTCGAGCCGCGCGGCCGTGATCCAGATCTGCGGCTCAGTCGGGATCGTCTCGCGCGCCTTGTTGAGCACCTTGCGCGCGTTCTGGTACGACTCGAGCCGCGCGAGGGCGAGCCACATGTCGACGGCGTGCGGCACGCACTCGACGGCGCGGCCGAGCATGACGCGCGCGTCCTCCGGCGGCTCGAGGTCGATGGCCGCCTGCCACAGCTTGACGGAGTTTGGCACCACCTCGAGCGCCTTGCGCAGCACGCGCCGCCGCATGCCCAGGTTGGACTCGAGGGAGGCGGCCTGCAGCCAGATCTTGACCGAGGTGGGGATCTTCTTGATCGCGTCGGCGAGGACGACCTTGGCGTTCTCGGGCGTCTGCAGCCGCGCCGCCTCGAGCCACACGTCCTCGTTCGCGGCGCAGGCGCGGCAGCCCTCGCGGATGATCTGCCGCGCGGCGACGAGCTTGCCGGCGACCTCTTCGAGCCGCGCGGCGGCGATCCAGCCGGGGCCGTGCCCGGGGTTGGTCTGAGTGACAGACTTGAGGAGGAGGCGCGCCTGTGGGAGAGGGGGCGGGGGGGGGTGGGTGGGCGGGGGGGGCGAGGCGAGGCGAGGGCTGCGGGTAAAAGGCGGGGGAAGGGGGGGGGGGGGGGGGGCGAGGGAGGGCGCGGGCGGAGAGGCGGGGTCCTTTTTGATGTCGCCAATCTCCGCCTCGGTGGAGACCTTGACCGAGTTGAGGTCGGTGAGGTAGCCCTTCGGGTCCACCACCGTCTGCCCCGACACAGAGTCCGACATCTGGTCGAGCTTGACCGACAGCACCGAGTTCCTCGCCGCTCCGATGGCCTTCAGGTCCGTCAGCGGCGTCGCGCCGCCAGGCAACGGGGTGGCGGAGCCAGCCGAGCCGGGGAAGGGTGTGGCGGAGCCGCCGACGACGGTCTCCATCCCGCCGTTGATCATCTGCCTCGTGTCGAGCGAGTTGTGCACCTCCTGCTCCAGCCGCGCCTTCTCGAGCAGCGTGTCGGGCGTCGGCATGTACCGCTCGTTCCGCCGCTCGGCGGCGCGCGACTTGCGGTGCTCGCCCGGCTCGGGGAGGGTCTCCCACTCCTCGCGCGAGACGAGCTGCAGCTCGCGCTTCAGGTCGCCGAACTGGTGCTGCAGCTTTGGCCGCACCGCGCGGAACTTGTCGAGCGACTGCTTCAGCTTGTCCTCGCGCCGCGTGCGCCGCCGCTCGTCCATCTTTGCGTCCACCTCGGACCAGACGGTGTCGGCGACCTCGTCGTCGTCGTCGTAGGGGAGGCCCTGCGCGAGCGACTCGGAGTACCCCGAGAACTTGTCAAAGTTCGACTCGGACAGGTTTGTTTCTTCGCCCGTGGCGCGCGCTGGGCCGATATCTGAGCGGGTGGTGAAACCGGTGGCGCCACGGCCGAGACCGGCGACGTAGTTGGAGGGCGCGGAGCCGTTGTACGCCTTGGCGCCGCGGGCGCCGAGAGAGGACATGCCGCTCGCACCCGCGCCTTGCGGAGAGATCGGGCAAGAAAAAAATATGAAAAAATAAAAACAGAACCAACCAACCGCCAGCAAAAGAAATGACCCCAAGTTGTCCAAGGACACGTACTCCGAGTCGCGGAGTTGCCAGCCGCGTGGACCGGAGGCAACAGCAGCAGCAGCAGCATGCTCGTTCGCCGCCTTTCCGCAAGACGTCACATTCGCCGCCTGTCAACGACGGTGGACCAGCCACCGGTGCTTATCGAGACGGCCGGCCGCGTCGCCATCCTCCGCCTCAGCCGGCCTTCGAGCCTCAACGCGATGACGGCGGAGATGGGCGACGCGTTTGCCGAAGCCATCACCGAGCTCTCCGGCAGGTGCGACGAGATTGGGGCCGTCGTCGTGACCGGCGCTGGCAAGGCCTTCAGCGCGGGCGGAGACCTCCAGTTCCTGCGCGACCGCGCTGAGGACTCGGCGTGGCGCAACACGGCGGTGATGAGGCGGTTCTACGAGCGCTTCCTGTCGGTGCGGAAGCTGCCAGTGCCGACGGTGGCGGCCATCAACGGTCCCGCCATCGGCGCAGGCCTCGGCCTCGCGCTCGCCTGCGACGTGCGTGTCGCGTCACCCGCCGCCAAAATGGGCGTGACATTTGTTGGACTCGGTTTGTTCCGGTGGCGACGGTCGTGACGCGGCTCGTAGTAGACACCCGCATTGGAGCTCGTAGGCATCCATCCCGGCATGGGAACGTCGCACTTCCTGCCGCTGGCGGTGGGCGAGCAGGTGGCGGCGAGAATGGTGCGCTCTCCTCGCCACGCCGCCGCCACCGCTGCCTCCTACGCCGCTCTGTGACCCGCCGTCCTCCGCTTGCGGCCTCAGATGCTGACGGGCGAGGTCGTGGGCGGGGAGCAGGCGCTGCGCGAGCGGCTCGTCGCCTCGCTCGACGAGGACGCCGAGGCGGCGGCGGTCGAGGTTGCGGCGCAGATGGCGGCGCAGGCGCCGGCGGCGGTGCGCTCTTGCGTGCGCACGCTGCGCACGCGGCAGGAGGGCGGGCTCGAGGCGGCGCTCTGGCGCGAGGCGGACTCGCAGGCGCACTGCTACGCCACGGCAGACTACCTCGAGGGCCTGAGGGCGCTGACGGCCAAGCCGCGCGCGCCGCCCTCCTTCGCCGGCTACGAGGAGTGCTCGAGCGACCGCCCGCCCAATCTGGGATGAGTCGACTACTCGGTCGACCCCGTCGCGACCCCCAGCGGGCGAGAACGACACTTTATTTCAGCCCCCTGCAGTCTCAGCCTCGGGGCGAGCGCGGGGGGCAAGAGGCCGCCCAGAGAGTCCGCCGGGTGAAAGCACACGAGATGCCACAGAGACGCCGAGAGGGGGAGGTGGGTGGCGCGAGAGATCGCGTGCCCTCAGATCGTGCGGTCTTATATTAATATGATACAGGAGCGGTCTCGGCCGGGGGGGTGCGATGCGCCACACGACAATCACAAAAAAGGAAAACGCAGTCATGCCTCAGGCGCGTCATTTCCAGCAGGTGAGAGGTGTGTGAGGTGCCACCGACCGACGATCCGCAAGGGTCTGCCTCTTTCATCACAGGTCCTTGTCCTTGAGCTTGCCTCCCGCGGAGAGCCATTGTCGGTAGACACGGAAGAGGAGCTGCACGTAGTGGTCGGGGCGGGGCAAGGCCAACGACGCGAAGGCGGCGTAGTTGCCGACGTAAACAAAGAGCGGGATCACGAGCGCCATCGCGACCACCGCCGTGATTGGGAGCAGCGGGATTAAGAGCAGGTGCTGCGCCGCGTGGCCTGCAGTATTGCCAGCGAGCGCCTCCTCAAGCAGCTGCCACTTTGCGTGCAGCAGCAGGCCGTAGCCGCCGAGTATGCTCACCAGCAGCGCGAGTGCGCCGAGCAGTCGCAACAGTGGGATGGTCTTGCTCGCAAGAAGGTTGGCCGACATCAACGCGGCGGTTCACTGCTGAATAGAAAGCAAAATCGCGTCGCGCTGCTCACCGATGTTTTCTTTCTTTTCTGCATTTCTTTCCTCCCCTCCCTCCCTTGGCGTGTCTGTTTCGTTTCGGCATTCTTTAAGTGCGTCGCGCTCAGGAAACGCGCGAGGTTGGAAGGTGTGCGTGCTGGCCGGATCTGGGAGCGGGAGGGCGGACGAGGGGCCGCTACTCTCGGAACTCGCAGGTGGTGGGATGTCGGCGGCTGCCGGTTTCACAGAAAACGACCCGCGGGGATAGGAAACTCAGCAGCGCGCACAGCTTAAAGCGGGCTTGCCTCACAGTCCGGAACGCAAGAGGTCCTCTCCTTAATCGGACACAAAGACGACCCCAAACGCAAACCCGCTGCCAAGCCGCCCAACCGCGACGAAGCCGCCGATCTGCTCGTCGTCGCCCACCGAGGCGCTCAGCGCCGCGTCAGGCCTAGTCTTTGCAAACGCCTTCCGCAACGCATCGACCGCCTCCTTCTCACACCCATCCAGTTGTTCCTCGAATGGCTGCAGAACCTTCTTCGGGTGGGGTCGGGGGGTGTTGCTGTGGGGGAAGGTGCCTGCGGCCAGCTCAAACGAGTCGGTGCAGCGCTGGACGTAGCCGAGGCTGCCGTATGCATCTCCCGCTGCGCGTCAGTGAGGGAAAAACAGGGCGGTCAGCGAGCGCTGTGAGGGACTGTGACGGGACTCGCCACGGCGGTGCTCGGGCCGCGCCTTTTCCGCGGTTGCGGTGCTTCGAAAACGCGTTCTCGAGGTACTTTTTCCAGCAGGCCCGCGCAAACACCTCGAGCTTGGAGCCGTCTTTCAGCCCCACCTCCTCGAGCGTGTAGGTCGCCGACCCCATCAACTCCTTGTTGTCGGCGCCGCCAAGGGCCACTCGAACTGGCTTGAACAGGTCGTCCGCCGCAGGAGGGCCCTCGGTAGCTGCCACCTTTTTGCCGCACCGGCTGCAATAGTTGGCGTCAGCGGTGAGGAGGTTTCCGCAGCTGCAGGTTGCGGGCTGCTCTGGCGCCTCCTTGCCGCACCGACTGCAAAATTTGCTGTCGGCGGTGAGGACGTTGCCGCAGCTGCATTTACCGCTTGCGCCACCACCACTGCCGCGGCCTGCGCGACTGCCACTGCAGCCAGCGCCACTGCCGCCGCCAGAGAACAGGCTTCGCACCCATTCTTCTGTCACGACTGGCAGACCCCTCTTCTCTGCCTCCTGGTGCTTCTTCGTCCCATAGCCATCCTCGCCACAAAGCAGGTGCGTAGCTTTTGAGATGGTGCCAATGTGACCGCCGTGGCGACAGATCTCTGCCTCCACCTCGCTCCGCTTGACCGAGAGAGTTCCCGTGAGCAGAAAGGTGCAGTCAGAGATGACCGCGCCCGATGGAGCCGGAGTCTTCTTCCTCTTGGCCGTGGCAGGCTCGACGGCGGGCGAGGAGCGCCGCTTCTTCTCTGGTGAGCTCTTCTGCGGACTGACATTTGGCGCAGGCTTGACTTCAGCGTACCCCTTTCGCTCCTTGCTCCGAATCTGGTCCGCAGCAAACTCAAGCGCCTCGGCCTTGGACGCATGCTCTTTCTTGTGCACGCGGGCGCGAGACGCTGAGAGGGCGCCGTATCGCACCGTCGTTCTCTTCCCCTCCGCCTCAATCTCCCAGAACTTGCCACCGGAAGCACTGTCCATCTCGAAACGGCGAGGAGCCATGCGATGAGACGCGACGGCGCTGGGCGGAGGGCGCGAGCTTCCGCGAGACTCGTCCGTCCACGTCCATAATCACCAGCTGTGCCATGCGTGCCACGACGGCGACCGTGCTCGTCCTCAGCGGACTGGCAGTGCTCCCCGACACGGCCGGTGCAAAGGGGAGGGCTCACGAAGGCTGCAAGAAGTGCAAGATCGGGGTGATGAGGATGTTTGCTAACAAGACCCAAACCGGCCCCATCTCGCGCATCTGTCCAAACATCACAGCGGTTCCCAGCTCAACGCCAAACGAACGCGCGCCGGCTGCCTACTGCCCTGGGCTCGTGCGCGGTGAGGGAAAGTGTGTCGTGTACACTTTTGATCAGGGTGGAGACTTTGGCTTGGACAAATCCCTATCGTCGCGCCCGGACGAGCCAGGCGAGCCGTGGCGGCCCATACTGGCGACGAGACCCGGCGAGCTGTGGTCAGCCCCCGCTGCCGCCGTCTCAACTCAAAGTCCTATCTTCGATTGCACTGTGATGTCCTTCGACCCTTTCTGCTGCGGGTCGGCGCGCGAGATTGGCCCCAAGCACCGACTAGTTCCGCTTGGCCTCGCAACCTATGACGGTCTGATGGTGGCGGGCGAAGAGCAGAAGAATTCGTCTTATCCGGTGATGACACTCAAGACAATCATGGCGTCCAACAAGCACAGCAAGGTCGACCTGCTGAGGCTATACCTCGACGCGGCTCTGGACTGGAAGGCGCTCAAGAACCTAATCAACTCCGGCAGCCTCCGGCAGGTGCGGCAGCTATCCCTCAGCCTCGAGCTTCGCGACGACGACATGTGGGATGAGTATCGCATCATCCTCACATCGCTGCGCGCGGCCGGCTTCGTGCCCTTCTACATCGTCAAGCAGCCCACGGCGCGCTTCCTGGCGCTGCAGACGGGCAGGCTCTCACTGTACTCGTCCTACGAGGCGTCCTTCGGCAACACGAAGCTGAGGTCACGCCGCGGAGCCTCGTGACATTGGGATCGCGTCGTCGTAGACGTTGCACGTCTCGCAGGTGCTCTGCCTCTGTGGAGGTCGGGGGTCAACACGGGGCGTGTACGACGTGTAGAGCCACTAGTACCGTAGAGGCAGCCGCTGGGGGGTGGGGGCGGCGGTGTGGGAGAGATGTGTTACAGTATGCGACACAGAGAAAAAACAATACAACATACCGACCGATACACACATGGATCATGGTTCTGAGAGTACAATCAAATGCGCGCGCGGTCCGCCTGGAGTGTGGACACATCGGCCCCCTCGGCCTCGCAGCAGCGCGCAGGAGGGGCGGCGCGCCGTGCTACTGGCATCGTCTGCTGGCAGTCACCGCCCCGCAAACGGCTCCCCCTGGGCTGTCCGCATCGCATCGACGGGCTCCTCGAGCTCGGGCGGGTCGAAGAAGGCGATCGCGCGCACCTCGATCGAGCGACGCGGGGGCGCGTCCGCCGGCGAGCTCGGGTCGGAGAAGGCGGTGTGGAAGACGAAGCGAGGCCCGTCTTCCCGCTTGTCGTACACCTTGAAGACGAGGCACTCGTCCTTGGTCTGCCGCGGGAAGTAGTACCACCGGTGCGCGCGCGAGTGGCGAAGAGAGTAGTTCTCTCCCGTCCGGTCGGGGAAGCGCAGCTCGTAGGTGAAGCGGTCCTCCTCCGCGACAGACTTCTCGTCGCAGACGGCGAGCGGCTGCTGCATCACCGGGTGCGAGTCGTCGATCGAGCGCCACACGTTGATGAAGGCGAAGCGGCCCGCAGCGAGCTCCTCCACGTCCTCCGGCCTACAGGACCCGGCCACACCGACACTCAATCCGACTGCCCCTCCTACACAGGGCCGGCCTCGGCGCTGCCGCACGTGAGCACCCGCCCCCGCAGCCGCGAGTAGATACCCTCGGCGCCCAGCTGCTGCAGCCGCCGCGGCGCCCCCGACGCCGTGTAGTCGCAGTGCACGCGCGGCACCGGCGCCGCCGAGCCGCCCGCCGCCGCGTTGAGGTTTGTGTTTCCGCTCTCTCGCACGGTGTGGTCGAAGATGAACACGCGCTCGGCGCCCGACGCGGCCTTGACCAGGTCCATCATCTCGCCGTAGTACGTCGCCACCACCGCGTCGTCGTCCTCGAAGTCGTCGCACTTCGTCGGCCACGACTGCAGCGCGAAGCCGAGCGCGTCGAGCGAAGCGGGCGGGTGCAGCTCGCGCGCGTCGCGCATCGTCACCTGCGAGGAGGCGGGGACCGCGTCGGTGCCCCGACGGCGCACCCGCTCGTCGCCGCGCGCTCTCTCCTCTCTCTCTCTCTCTCTCCACTCCTCTCTCTCTCCTCCCTCTCCCTCCTCCCCTCTCCGCCCCTGCCTCCGCCCCTGCCACCCAGCCACCTCCCTCTCTCCCTCCTTCTCGTCGCGCCACCTCTGCGGCGACATGCTCGTCCACGACGTCCCCCAAGTCGGGCTGGTTGATGTACCTGCCGGTACCCTTGCCGGCGGGCGGCGGCTGCTGGTAGTTGAGTTGCACGGCCTGCGGCACCTGCGAGTCCGAGAGGGCGGGCGGGCGGGCGCGCGTGTGCGTGGTGCGTCTATGGGTCGCAGCGCGTCGGGGCGCAGAGTGCTGCGGGCCGCACCCCGTAGGTGAGCTTGAGCGTGGGGTCCGCGCTGGCCGCGATCTCGTCCACGATGGGCTTGAACTGGCCCGCCGCCTCCATCTCCTCCCAATAGGCCCAGATCTCGGCGCGGACCGCCTCGACGGCGGGCTCGGCCCGCATCGCAGAGTACCACGCCGCGAGGCGCGGGAAAGGCGTCGGCGCCGGGTCGGCGGCGGCGGGGTCGAACAGCTGCGGCCAGCCGAAGAAGCGAGGCAGCATGAACTGGCGCGGCGGTGAGGCAAGGGAGAGCTGAGAGCTTGCGCCGGCGAGGGGGCGGTGAGCCCGGCTGGCGGAAGGAGGGCGGGGCAAGCGAGCGGCGCGCGCCTCCATGAAGACACAGGTGGGGAACCAAGTCAGGTCTGCGAGAGTGAGCTGAGGGCGAGGGCGGCAAGGGAGAGGGTGAGGTCGACGGCTCTCTGCGCGTGGGTGTGCACACTCGGGTGCAGAGGACGCGGCGCGCCTGGCCCAGCAAGTGAGGCCCGCCGGCGGCGTCTGGGTCCCGCGTGAACTTGTCGAGGTGCAGCCGCGACACCATCGCCCGCCGCCGGTCGCTCGCCTCGAGCTCCGCCTCGAGCCAGCAGAGCTGCCTGTTCACAACCGACGCCGTCACGCATGACTGCGCCTGTGCTCCGTCTCTCGAGCGGCAGAGCCGCCTCCAGATCTCGGCAATCTTGGCGGCGCGCGTGGGCAGGTCCATGCCCCGCTCGGGCCCGTGCCAGCCGTAGGAGAGGTACATGGCGCCCTGCGAGTGCGAGAAGCCGGGCGCGGTCGTGTTTGGGCTCGCGATGTACAGGTCGTGCACTCGGCAGAGCAGCTCCATCGCCGCCCGGCCCTCGGGCGTGCGCGGCGTGAGTCTCGGGCCGGCGTCGCCGTACTTGTCCTCGAGAAAAGAGAGGATGACGTTGGACTCGAACACGGGCGCTCCGTCGGGCAGGATGAGCGCAGGCACCTTGGAGAAACGTGCGGCGAAGGGCGGTGTGCGTTCGGGAGACAGACGGCGTGCGGCGGGGAGGACACGCCACCTTCTTGAGCGGGTTGACAGCCGCAAAGTCAGCCTTCTTCAGGTCGGGGTAGGTGAGCATCCGGCTCTCGATCGCGTGGCCCATCCCGCCCGGGCGCTTGAGTGCCATCCAAAGCCGCACACGTGCCGCATTGTTGCTGTGGCACATGTCGAAGAAGATTGGCTTCTCGAGCGGCTTGTCCAGCGGCGTCGAGGCGAGGGTGGAGCGGGCGCGAGCGAAGGCACGGTGGAGGTGTCGCATGTTCGTGTAGTGCTCTGACAGCGCGCCCACAGCTGGACGTGTCTTGCCGGCGACGACGAAAGAATTCTTAAGATACAAGCCGAAAGAATTCTCTCGACATTCTCGAGGTGGATATCCTTTGGCCGCGTTGGGTAGCGAGGAAAGAATTTGCGGGCGGCGCGCTCTAGTAACGATCCCGATCATCCGGCCCGCTGGGTGCGCTTCTTAGCTCCCCGGCCCTGGATGTGAGGCTAATGACTGCACTCCAAGTGCTCCAAGTGCCGTAAGTGCGGACTGGCGCGTGCTAGCACTAACACACGCGTGCTAGCCTCACACAGGTGACAGGAGACAGGTGCGGACTGGCGCCTGCTAGCACTAATAAGACAGGCAAGCCACCGGAGCCGCCTAAACCTAAGAACGGCAATTTATCAGAATACAGACAGCTGAGGGAGGGTGTAGAGGATGTGAGTGTGAGCGCTTCAGAGCTGTAGATAGAGATGTAGAGCGCTCTGGATGGAGCGCTGTAGAGCGCTGTAGAGCTGTAGAGCTCTACATCCGCCGTGGGACGAACTGCGTGCGTTGTAGAGCGATGTAGAGGCGCTCTACAACGTGAAATCTCTACAACAAACTCTACATCACGGGGGATGACATCCTGCCTCCCGGCACGCCGGGAGGAGGTGGTTGCTCCGCCGCCGGCCGGACCGCCCTCTCCACCACCCTCGCCCAGGGATCTACAACGCTGTCTTAAGGTCCGACAGGTTCGGCACCGGGCACCGCCTCGGTATACAAAATGCGCCTGCGGGCGGACCCTCACAGACCACAGATCACAACAAACTCTACATGATGAGCGGCGAACGAGGCACGGTCGCTCTCCGACATGAGGCGCGTTGCACTCGCCAGTGCTGCCCTGGCCTTCTGTCTGCCCGCCCAATGGGTGGGAGGTGCCTCTGCTGCTGTGGCATGCCTGGGAGGTGCCTCTGCTGCTGTGGCATGCCTCACGGCTGCGACTGGCCGGCGCCTCGGCGCGTCAGCTCGGCTCGGCGTAGCGATAGTGGCCAGCGCAACTCGCCTGGACTCAACGCTCAGCCAGGAGCTCCCGCACGCGCTGGCGCGAGTCATGGCGCATGCAACGCGTCTGAATGCTCGCCTCGCCTTGCGCAAATGCGACCGTCCTCGCCGCCGACAGTCCACCGCCTGCTAAAGAAGCACTGCGATGAATGCGGCACCGGCGACGCATGGCAGGCTGGTGATGACGCAGTTATGGGGTGTTGTGTGCCATCAGAGTGACTCTGTGTGTGTCAGGGATAGTCAGGGCCGTCCATCAGAGCTCTAGTAAGCTCGGAGACATCCCATTAGTGCGACTCGACCTCTTTGAGTCACTGCCTTCCCGGCGGGTTGGTTGTAGAGCCTCTACAACAAACTCTACAGCAAAATCGCGCCCTACAACGCTCTACAACGCACGCAGTTCGTCCCGCGCCCGATGTAGAGCTCTACAGCTCTACAGCGCTCCAGAGCGCTCTACATCTCTACAGCTCTACAGCGCTCTACACTCTACATCCTCTACACCCTCCCTCAGACAGAAAGCCGCGAGCAGAAGAAATACCGCGACAGCAGGGAAAAGAAAGAAAGAAAGAAAGCAGACAACCCAAGGGAGGGATGGGAGGACGGCACACCGCCACCACACAGGGATTTTAAGGAGAGGAGTGTGGTGCTAGCCGTCGCCCACCCTTGGGCGTCTGCCTCTTCCTAATCTCTCTTCGCAGTCCCTCGCCGATTCTCGCTGCAACCTTCATGCCACCTCGCGGACGCGGTCGTCCCACTCTCGTCGTTCTCTCTCCTGTCGCTTCCTCCTCTGTCGCGCGTCGCTCTCCTCTGCGTTGTGCTGCGACGACGACGACGCCTGCCCGATCCCTTGCTCTCGCTGCTTCTCTCGCCTTTCGGCGTAACTCCGCTCTCCTCGCGGCGTACTTTGGCCCCTCGAGTTTATCAAGCTGTCCTCGCGCAAGGACCACATTTCTGACACCCACTCCGATCATTTGCCGCCAAGTCATGTCGTTGCTCAGAGGTCCACTCTTCTCGTGTCGGACACTTGTACCTCCACCGATGATGCTGGCGCTGGGGTCCCTTCGTTCGTTCGGGTGCATCGTGACAGCTGACGGGGGGGATTTTTGAAGCCAACAAGAAATGTGGCACACACAGTGATTTGGGCTCGGCAGCTTGTCGACTACCACTCTCTTCTCCAGCTGACGTGTGTGGGAACGTGTGACGACGGGCCTTGCTAGTAGTGGCGTGTCGTCCTCGTCGGAGTCATCTTCCCCTTCCTCCCTTTCGTCTCTACGTTCAGCGTGGCTCACCCTCCATGCCGTGAACAGGCGCCCTATCCGTCCTATGTTCTTCTCTCGCTCCTCTGCCCGTACCGCGCACCTTGTCTTGTCGTTGTTTCGTACCCATGTCTGGATGGCGATCAAAGCTGCCTTCCCCACTACATGCAGTTCCCTCGTCACCTCTCCTGCTGGGAGTACCCCTAATTTTCCCACACTTTTTTCTCCTTTTTGAGACCGGCGGGCAAACATCCGAGCCGCCTTGCTTTCCGACAAGGAGGGACCTCGATGTTGACGACACTGTCCGCCCTCGCGCTAGGGTTCGCCACGCATCCAACCACCCTCTCCATCGACTCGGCCTCTCCGCAGCCACGTGTACAAAATTTGGCCGTTCACCCAGATGCAACGGCGGTGGCCCGAAGCACCAAATGGTCGAAGACGCTCGACTCGCCCGAGCTGCTTATGTCAATGCCCTTTGAATCGACTGCGATCAAGGCACGGGGTACAGCAGTGAGCGGCAGCAGTGAGGGCAGGACGTCTAGTGAGGGCAGGACGTCTCCACAAGAGAAGCAGAGCCACGTCGGCGGCTACATGATTGTCTCCGCCGTCATGTTGGTGATGGTTCTCGCCGCTGCAGCGGCACGTCGTCGTGAACGCGCCGCTGTGATGCGCTTCGACTTGCCACTCGCCCGCCCGCTTCGAGCCAGCGAGGCTCCCACCGCTGAGGTGCCGATTGCGCCGATCTTGCTCTGCAAGGAAGAGGCCCCTGGCGTCTTTCGCGAGGACACTACTGGATCACACGCCGCGTGAGCGGCGTGCTATTAACCGCTGCTCTGCTGTCGATGAGGATCACCGGTCCGCTTGTCGCCTGTCTGTATCGACGAGGCAGAGGCCACTCGTGCACGAGCACCGTCTGCGGACCTGTTTTAGTCGACGTGTTCTCTCGTCTCGACTCCGCTCTCTGTGCGCGTAGCGGCTAGCGCGTTTTTGTCTGTGTGTGTCTCCCCGTAAGCGAGCATAGTCGCTCATGTGTACTTCTGTCAATAACTATTCTACATCGCCCAACGCGACAGCATCAGCGGAAGTACACGCAACACGGCTAGGTGTGCCCATTCGCGAGAACTCGTGGCACCGACACAGTCCGCACCAAAGCGCGCTGCCCTCGCAGCCCGTCGCTGACACCCCGTCCCGATAAAGCACACCAAACGGCGGCAAGCTACGCTTGCCAGCCACGCCCTCGCCACCTCAGTCGCACGCTGGCACGAGCGCTGGCCGCTCCCCACGCTGGCGGGTCCTCTCAAAGGACAGAGCTGCGTTGGCCATCGCGGCGATCTCGGCGTCGGAGGGCATCTCGAACTGCCTCGCGGCTTCAGCCGCTGCGCACTCAGGCTTGTCCTTGGCCTTCGACAGGAGCTGTGCCTGGATCGCGATCGCGCCAGCGCAGCCAGCCAGCATGAGAGTGGACTCGCCCAAGATTTTGGAGAACATCCCTACGGCGCGGCCAACGGTCAGGGCGGTCAGTACTGCTACTGGTTGCGCTGCAGGGCGATCGAGCCGAGCAGTGGCGGTGTGGCGGTGTGCGCGGGGGCGGTCGTTGTGACGTCGTTCTGGGGTGCGGGCGAGGGCGGCAGGCACGCTTGCCTGGAATCAATTTGCAAGCGCACAATCGACGGTTTTTGACTGTTGACGGGCGTTGTCAACGCCAAACTTCTCCCAGAGCATCTCTAGATTCCCCTCATTAGCCCGACACCAAAAGAATTTTACAAGAGATGTGTCGCAAGTTGGTCTGACTGACTGTCTCCTAACAAACCTGCCATGCCCAAACCCACCGCAACCTAGACCGCAACGACCAACGTCACAAAACAATCTCTCTCCCAACGTCCAACGAGTGGGAGAGAGAGAGAGAGAGAGAGAGAGAGAGAGAGAGAGAGAGAGACGAGTGGTACGACGAACGCACGAACCCATCAATCAAATCAAAGTTCTCTCGACATGCATGCACATGCACATGTGGACATGTACATGCATGTTGTTGTGCATGTGCATGTGCATGTTGTGCATGTGCATGTTGTGTATGTAGGAAGGTGAAGAACAGTCAGGCTCGGACTGGACACCAGCGCTACCTGCTAGGTAGGTAGGTGTTTTGGTGGACGCAAGACAGGAGATGACGGACGGCACGCTCGCTGGAGCGACACACAGACACCTCACATGGAGGACCTCATGGCTGGCAGTATCATACAACCGAAGTACGACCGGCCCTCGGAGGGCGCCCGCTGCTCTCGACTCGAACGGCTCGCTTTTGTTGAACCTCGTGCTCCTATCTAGGCGACGTGCCAACTTCCAAGGAAGTCGCATTCGCCGAGCGTTTTCGCAGCGCCGCCGCGCCCCACAAACAACCATGAGCGGAATCAAGCACTGGCTGTCCACCTGGCGCGCGTACGACATCGCCAACACGCTCGCGGCCGCCTTTGTCGGTGCCAGCCTCTACGCGCGGCAGCAGGAGCAGCAGCTCTCCAGCCACGCCGACCCGTTCATCGACGCGACCAATGCGACGGCGAAGCCAATGCAGCAGGCAATGGCTGAGGCGTGGGACGCCGACCCGGGCGAGATGGCGGCGGCCACGTTTGAGTTCTGGCTCTTTGTGTTTGCGATGGGCAGCTCGCCCATCGCGTGGATCGTCACCTACGCCTTCCAGTCCGTCACGCCGGCGATGTGGGCCGCGTTCCTCCCTTGGGTTGCAGTCACCTTTGGCTCGCTCTTCAAGGGGCTCTCCGTCATCGCGTGCGCGGCGTTCGCCGGGACCTACTGGTTTCACGGCCTGCTGATGCTGCCGCTCGACCTGTACGCCACGCCCGATGCGCTCAAGCAGCTGATGGTGTCCAAGGTACAGCCGAACAAGCGCGTCGACCCGCACAAGCTTCCCAAGGCGGTGCTCAACATGGTGGGCAATCTTGTCTTTGTCGCCTTCCCGATCGTCACCGGGCTCGTGTACGCCTCGCTCAAGACGGATCACTTCCTGCGCGTCGACGAGGGCCTCCCGTCGCACAAGGAGCGCTGCCTCTGCCTCGCGTCGGTCATCATCGGCAACGAGATCCTCTTCTTCTACTCGCACTGGGCGCTGCACCACAAGGCGCTGTACGCCAAGATCCACAAGAAGCACCACGAGTTCACCGCACCGATCGCGCTCGTCGCCATCTACTGCCACCCGATCGAGTTTGTCCTCTCGGACATCGTGCCGCTCGGCGCCGGGCTGATCGTCGCGCACGCGCACGTCTTCTTCGCCCTCATGTGGATCGTCACCGCCGTCATCGGCACGCAGGTGCACCACTCGGGCTTTCGACTGCCGTGGCACTTTGGTCCGGATGAGCAGCCTGACTTCCACGACTTCCACCACCAGAAGTTTACCTGCAACTATGGCCACCTCGGCATCCTCGACGCGCTGCACGGCACCTCGAAGATGTACCTGGACCACTGCGCCAAGCTCGCCGCTGCCAAGCAGAAGGGCGAGTGAGGGGATTTGGCCGGGTATGTCTACGTACCTCTCCCGGTCAGCCTGGTACAGTATTCCGAGCCGAAGTGCGCTTCCGCTCCCTTCTCCCGCTGGTCTCTCTTTGTTAGTCGTACGTATCTCTCAGCGTCTCATCCGTCGAACTCGCGCTGTCTGCGAGCGAGTTGACCCCGTACCGTTAATTCTTGTGCGCAAGCCAGTGACGCCGGTCAGTATGTTTTGCGCTGCAGATACTTGTTTTCAAAGACAAAGTGTTGGATGGTGGGTCGGGGTGTGTGACACGCCGAATATATGTCTCAGCTTGGGACTAACTTTTTGGTCTTGCGCGCGTTGCGGCGGCGAGTATTGTCTCATAAAACCCCTTGATGATAATGAATTAATAAAAAATATCGATCTAAAAAACTCAATCTCTAACTCTCTACCTTCTCCCGCGAAAGTTATTTAGTATCACCCCCCTGCCGCCGCCCAGTACGTGCTCCGCAGCTGAGCCCACGCACCCCGCAGTAGCTCAGGGACACATCAAGCTCGCATACAAGTGCTGGTACGCACAGCTCGACGCGTACTCGAATGCTGCCACTGTCATTCTAGCCGGCGAGCGGCGGCGTCACAGCGTCGACTCTCGCATCGCGATGAGACGCACTGCTTGCCCAGACACGCGCCTTGGCGCGCTCCTGTGGTGCAGGAGGAAGGCCAGCGGTCGTGCTGCGCAGGCCCGGCCGTCTGGCTGAAGGGAACAGCAGCTGGCGCTCAACAGCAGCGCTGGCAAGCGGCGCAGCACACCACACTCCCGCCAAACCACGTGACATTTCGCGCCAAGATTTGGCGCCAAAATGGCACTATAATGTCCACCTAGCCACGTGGTCGCGGCCTGAAGCTCCAAGCTTCTGGGACTGAGGTGCACACATCGAGGACTCCATTTGTGTGCAGGCGGCACCCTTCCGATCGTTCGCCGATATCCGAAACCGGGGTCGTACTAAATAACTTTCGCGGGAGAAGCGTTGTATATACTGAGACGCGCACAGACGTCGCGTCGCTCTCTCGACGAAATGTGAAACACTGACACATCTCTGCGGGCCCGTAGCGCCGCCAGAGGCAGAATAATAATGTGTCACGCTCGGACTTCCTCGGCGCCACCGGCGTGAGCGTGGAATCCGGCGGACGACAAGCCTGAGCTGTCTTCGGCCGTCAGGTCCGGCGGCGGCACCACGCAGCCGCGCATTGGGCAGGTCCACGCCACTCCAGCAGCGAGGATCGAGACGCAGAAGAAGGCCATGATGCTGTAGCCCATGATCTCAAAGTTCGCGTTGAGCGTGGCGATGAGGTGCCAGAAGACGCCGCCTCGGATATCCCACTCGCGCTGGGCAAGGCCGAGCAGCTCGATGGTGCCGATGGCGACGGCGATCAAGGACGAAGCGGCGGTGAGGTACGTGTTGAAGGTTGCGCGGCTGCCCGCGCGCGCGGCGGCGCGGTACGCGTAAGACATGGCCAGCCCGTCGAGCGTGTCGATGAGCGACATGCCGCCCGCGAAGAGGAGCGGCAGCACGAGCGTGCACGCGGGCGGGATGCCCTGGGCCGGGCTCATGGCAGAGAGGGCGAGCAGCGCAACCTCGCTCGACGTCTCGAAGCCGAGGCCGAAGAGGAAGCCGAGGCCGGCCATCTTTGCGGGCGAGTCGATGGCCTCGAGTAGCTTTGGGAAGCAGCGCTCTATGAAGGAGGTGGAGTGGGTGTGGCCGGCGCTCGCGCTCGAGCGGTGCGCAGCGAGCAGCGAGAACAGGTTGACAAAGCCGATGAGGAAGAGGACCGAGGCGCTCACCGCCGTCGAGACAACCGCGCCGACGCCCTCGAAGACGCCGCTGTGCTTAAGGTAGCCCGCGCCGCAGGCGGTCGCCACGCAGATCATACCGACGACGGAGGAGTGACCGAGGGAAAACCAGAGCCCGGTGAGCTGCGGCTGCTTCCCGTCGGCGATAAGCCGCCTCGTGACATTGTCGATGGCGGCGATGTGATCCGCGTCGACAGCGTGTCGAAGCCCGAAGGAGAGGGCGAGCAGCCCGGCCGAGAGGAGGGAGGGATAAGTGCGTGCGATCACAAACAGAAGCGTGAGGATGCAGGCGTTCACTCCTATCAGCGCGGCCACTATCCGCAAGGCCCGCAGCTTGAGTGCGTGGTCACTGAGGAGAACACAGCCTTTGCCTGTGGCCAGCAGCGGCTCCTGCGGTGACGCATCCAGCATCCCACAGTGAAAATGCCGCTGAAAAAAAGAGAAAGCGCGCACGGCCTGCAAAGAAGTTGGTGAGGCCGCAAAAGAGGCGCGTGAGGCAAGGAGGAGAATCGGAGAACGGAGAGACTGGGACGACTGGACACAAGAAGACAGTGAGCCGCCACAGGCGCCAGATTGGCATCCATGCCTCTCTGGACAGGCAGGGTGGCCCGCCACAAGGACCCCAGGAATTGCGACTCGCCGCTTTCCTCCCGCTGTGATTCTGTGTGAGCTCTGTGTCTTGATTTGCCAACAATATACCTAAAGCCACAGGCGTCGTTGGCGCACGTACTGAGTGGCAGCTGCGCTGGAAATAAGGAAGAGGCGCGTTACTTCATGCGGAAGCACGGCGAGGGCGACAGGAAGAGTCGAACGGGAGGCGCCTGAATCAAAAGACACGGCGACATCCTTGAGACGCGCGAGAGCAACCTCGTTAAAGGCAATGGGGTCTAGATTTGGAGCGCTCGCCGAAGAGGAGTACGACAAAATAGCGCCCGTGATTGCCTGCACACGCTGCCAGCACTGACAGACTCCATACCCGAAAGAAAGAGAGGGGAGCTTGCAGGAGAGGTGACGAGGGAACTACAGGTAGTGGGGAAGGCAGCTTCGATTGCCATACAGACATGGGGTGCGAAACAACGACAAGACCAAGGCACGGGCAGAGGAGAAGAACATAGGATGGACAGGGCGCCTGTTCACGGCATGGAGGGTGAGCCACGATGAACGTAATGAACGTAGAGCCGAACGAGAGGAAGCCGGGGAAGACGACTCGGAGGAGGACGAAACACCAGTGGTAATCCCGCCATCAGCTGTCACGATATACCCGAAGGGAACCCCAGTGCCAACACCGACCGTTGAGGTACAAGTGTTCGAAGAGAGAGTGGACCTGAGCAACGACATGACTTGGCGGCAAATGATCGGAGTGGGAGTCAGAAATGTGGTCCTTGCGCGAGGGGAGCTCGATAAACTCGAGGGGCCAAATTATGCCGCGAGGAGGGCGGAGTTACGCAGAGCGGCGAGAGAAGCAGCTAGAGCAAGGCAGACGGCAGCGGCGTCTCAGAACGAGGCCGAGGAGAGCGATGAGTCAGAGGATGAAACAGCAGGGGAGAGAACGAGGACGAGAGTGAGAAGAACGAGAGGTGGCATGAAGGTCGCTGCGAGAATTGGTGAGAAACTGCGAAGAGAGATAGGAAGTGGTAGACGCCCGAGGGTGGGCGACGGCTAGCACCACACTCCTCTCCTTAAAATCCCTGTGTGGTGGCGGCGTGCCGTCCTCCCATCCCTCCCTTGGGTTGTCTGTTTCTTTCTTTCTTTAAACAAGAAGGCACTCTCTCACATGACAAGCGATCCCACGACAGCGATTGTGGGGACTACATGATCCTTACGTGAGGCGGTACGGGCGCCCTCCACTGCGGCTGAGCGCAAGAAGCCGTCCGCCGTTTGCTTGTTCGTGACCCAGTTGGTGCGCATCTTGCGCGCCTGCTTGTTGATGTTTTCGGCGTCGCCCGCCACCGCCGCCATGGAGATCTGCTGCGTGTGGTGGACGACGAAGGAGGAGGCGCTCGCCGACGCCGCCCCGTACACCGTCCGGTCCGTGTTGCGTGTTGGTGCCACCCGCCGCTTCCTTGGCGAACACGTGGAGGAACTGCTTGGTGGGCGGCGCAATGCCTCCCATAGTTTCCACGAGCACCAGCCGCGTTATGGCTTTCTGGACCCACTTCGCGTCGAGTACTGCGCCCCACCCGTCTCCATACGCGTGGTCTTTGACCCATCCCTTTCCAGTCGAGTGGTCGAGCGGTCCGTCCACCTGACGGCCGAACTCCTTGCAGAGAGAGATTTTGTTTTTGTTCCTTGCACCCCACGACCGCCGTCAACGCCTTGTCCAGCGTGTTTCCAAACCCGTAGAGGTGGCCCACCGACGCCACACTGCCACCATTGTCCCACGAGCCCCTCCCCGACGTCGTCGACTTGATGAGAGGGTTCCAGCACTTGACCTCGTAATGCACGTCCAGGTACATACTTACGCAACACACGCGACACGGTCACGCACCGAGAGAGAGAGTCCAAAGCAGCGGCTATCGCCGCTGCAGCGGCCGAGGAGGCTGCTGCAAAGGCGGCTGCTCAGGCGGCCGCTCAGGCCGCTCAGGCGGCCGCTCTCGGACGGTACAGGTTGGTCAACGCTTGGTTCTATCCACGCGGCGACTGGTACACCTTCTACTGGGATGGCAGCTCGGCCGACAAGGTCGCAAGGCGCGCTACCTACCCGACGCTCGAGCACGACGACCACGACCCCGGCCCCCTCGCAGAGCGCATCAGGCGCGACAAGCGCGAGCGGTCCGACCGCTCCTCCGACGACTCCTCCTCCGACCGCGACTCATGCGGCACCGGCTCCACTAGCGAGGCGAATGACATATTCGACACCCTCGAAGACCATCTCGGCTACGGTTCCGACTCCGGCTCCGGCTGGTAGTCGACAAGCTGCCGAGCGCAAATCACTCTGTGTGACACATTTCTTGTTGGCTTCTAAAAATCTCTCGCACCGACTGCAACCCCCGAGGCGAAGGGCGTACGTATGCACATCCCACAGGTCGAGCCACTCTGAGTGGCTCCGACAGGCACGCACACGGTCCACTCGGAGTGGACCATGCTATTGTGCACACTGCTCCCACACGTTAGAAACAGAGAAAACAAAAGTGCTCACATGAGTCATGACAAACGATCCCACGACAGCGATTGTGGGACTACATGATCCGCACGCTGTGCGTGTGAAGGGTGGAGGGGCCCGTTCGCAGAGCTAGGCGGCGCGGGCACCCCCCACTGGGGCCGAGGACAAGAGGCCGTTTGCCGCGTGCTTCTTGAAAAAGAAAACTGACCAGCAGCTTTTCCGACGGACGCGTCCCTGGCCTGACGCGGTCGACAGGACGAGCCGGCAGCCATGCTAGGCCGGTCGCGGCACAGAAGCTCTCCCTCGAGTCCTGATCGGTGCCAGGTCTCGAGCAAGGCGCTCCCGGAGCATGCAGCTATGGCGCGCCTCGCCGCTCTGACCGAAATGCTCGTCGACATCAGACGGAAGCAGGCCGAGCAGCTCGGCTGCGCCAGTGGCGTCGAGCGGGCGGGCTGCGACTTGCTGCTGGAGAAGCAAGTCTGCCAGCTGCATGGGCTTGCGCGCGGCGTTGTCGGCGACATCCAATCGCTCCGACTAGCCGTCGCCTCGCCCTCCGCCACCGAGACAGAGCGGCGCATCCTGCGGTCGGCAGAGTGGCTCTGCTCGCGCCGGCTGATTGAGGCACTTGGCGAGCTCGAGGATGCACAGCGCCGCCATACAGCAGCACGGCGGGATGCGGCGGAGCGCTGCGGTGGTGCACTGGAGCAGGCGTGCGCCGCCGCAAAGCAGGAACTCCTTGCCGCTGAAGAGCGCGAGGCGCGGCTCTCAACTCACGAAAGACAGGTTGCGCAGCTCGAGAGCTCTATCGTGGAGTTGCAGGCGCTATTCGAATCGATGGGCCTTCTCGTCGAGGCGCATGGCGCAGTGCTCGATAATGTCGAGCTGAGCATCTCCGAGGCTGCGCGGCGGGTGGAGGCGGGGACGAAGCACCTCCAGGCCGCAGCGAGGAGCAAGAGCGCGGAGCGGCGGAAGATCGCCAAGGCGATCCTCATCGCTCTTGCCGTGCTGGCAGTGGTGGCGGCGGTGGCGCTGTAGGCAGTAGGGGTCGCCGCGGCGTCTCGCGGGCCGCGGGGGCGCGCGGGGGGGGCGGTGGGACGTCGTTCAAGACCACGCTCTCTCCTCTCTCTCCTCTCAAGCCGCCACTCTGTTCTCTCGCGCACGCACAGACATTCAGAAGCCGCGGAAGAGCTCAAGTAAACACGGGTGCAGCGGGCTCCACACGGCTGAGGTGAGGAAGTCTCGCCCCCCCCGCCACTGCTCGCCGGAGGGCAGCGGGCGGAGGAAGGGGGCGCCCTCCGGGTTTGCGCCTCTACTTCCACCACGGCGCGAGGTCCGTGCGGAAGTCCGTCTCGGTCCACGGCGACAGCACAACCTTGCCGTCGACGTCGTTGACGTGCGCGAGCGCGAGCGAGAGCGGCGCCGGGCCGCGGATGACCTTGCCGTTGAAGTCATACTGCGAGCCGTGGCAGGGGCAGATGTACCTGCGGGTGAAGCGGGCGAACGGTGGGGAAGCGTGAGCGGCCGATCCTCCGATCACCACTGCGCGGCGCAGCGATCGGCGGGGGCCACAAATCGCGAGGCGGAGGGGGCGGGGGCGCGCACTTGAGCTGCGCGCGGTTGAACGGGACGACGCAGCCGAGGTGCGTGCCTGCGCGGCGGGGGTGGGCGCGCGTGTCGGCTCCGCCGCCCCAGAACCTCTCCCCTTTGCAGCCTCTTAACCAAGCCGCAGGGCTGGGGCGAGAGCAAGGGGGCGGCGGCTGGCAGCGCACAGACGGCGTTGATCGCGAAATCGTAGAGGGTCTTGTCCTCCTTGACAATCAGGTAGTGGGCGTCGCCTTTGAGGCCCTCGACCAGCGCCCGGCCCGGGTACGGGTTGGCCGCAATCCACTTGGCAGCCATCACATCGGCGCCGAGGGCATCGCGGGCGGTGACGCCGGCGCCGCCGCCGCCGCCGCCTGGCGGGACCAAGAAATAGATGTAGCCGCCCGCCAGCCACAGCACCGGCACGCCGGCGCCGCCGAGCAGCACCAGGTTCATGATGGTGCGCCGCTGCATATCGGGGACAAAGTCGTCGGCGCCGACGGCGCCCATGCTGAGCGAGGCGCGCGCCGGCACGGCGGCGGGGGCGCGGGCGACGGGGGCGATGGCGGACGCCGGCCCCGCGGCGGGCAGGGTGAGCGCGAGGGCCGTCCCGGCGAGCAGGACCAGCATTTTCAGATCTTCGGCTGAGAATCCTCTCGATCCCCTGAAGTTGTTTTTTTTTGAGCTTAGCCTTCGATGTTAGGAAACAAAGCAAGGCGGACATGGCATATCGCTCTCGGGCCCACAGACATCCCGCACACCCGCCGCCACCCGCGCGCGCCCCGCCCCACCCCGGCCGGGAGAAAGGGGAGTGACAGTTTGGGACGGCGACAGCCCGAGTATGTTGAGTCCTGGCTCAACAACGCAGGTTTCAAGAGGGGGTGGTCCGGCTCACAAGTCCGGCTCACGCGCCTCGAGCTGACCATCTACCGCACTGAGCACTTCCGCCCCCTCGCTCCCAACCCATCCACCCCGCCCCGGGCCGCGCCGCGCGATCTCGGGCGATCTTTTTTTTCAGTTTATTTAGCTCACAAAACAGGAGACTCTGCTGACAGGGTTTACACGTCGAGGCCTGCGCACGAGCTGACAAAGCGCTCCAGGTGCGCGGACGAACTAAAGCGCAGCTCGCCGTTGACGACGACAGCCACGGACGTTGACGGTTGCATTATCGCACCGGACAGCGCCGTGCGGCAGCGCCGTGGGCACGTAGCGATATGGCGCGGCCCCCCCGATATGGCGCACCGGCCCGCCGTGGCTTGCTGTTCGATTTCTGACAAATCACACACATTTTTGTCGATTTGAATGAGCCTTTTGGGCGGGTTTGCTTTACCACCGTCCGTACAAACCGCCTCTCCGCCAAAGAGGTCTGCCGCTGCTCATCAACATCGAGGCCCGAGGACGCAGGCTGTTTGCCATGAAGCCGCACGCGGCCGCGCACCACCCGCTGCACCCCGTACTCCTCTGCCTCCTCATCCGAAGGGTGAAATTCTGAAAAACGTGCAGCACTTCTAGCCGACATCGACAAAAGTCACTCTCTAGCCCCGCGGCGAGCGGCCCCGCCGGAGGCGAAGAAAATTTTGCCATCTAGCGCTCTCTAACACACATTTTTGCACAAATCGACGCCTCCAAACAAGTTCAATAAGACTGGTCTTCACTGCAGCACGCCTCGAGCGAGTAATGCGTCTGTAGGCCAAACCGCCGACGCGTTCCTGGACGACAAGGCCGATCGACTCTGGAGGACGCGGTCGGCGGCGCTTCGCGAGCTGGCACAGAAGGTTCGAGACGGCACGGATCTTGTGCTCCTATGCGCGGGTAGGATTGAGTCCTGTCACGGCGATCTGCTGAGGAAGGGGATTCTAGCTGATGCGGCGCAGCTCGAGGCCACCAGCAAGAAGAAGCCGCGCTCCGACAAGGGCAAGCCGAGGGGTCCTCGGGGGCCCAGGGCCGACTCGGTGGAGACGGCGGCCCGCATGGGGGTGCTGTCGACCTTCTACCTCCGGCACGCTTATGGACGGGACAGCCCGTGGCTGCATGAAGATGACGGGGTGCTCTCCGCGAATGGGGGGGTGCTGTGCGCGGGGTGCGGGGAGGAGGCGCCCGGGCTCGGGGCGCGGGACGGGGAGGGGGGAGGCGGCGGTGGGGGCGGCGGGGGGCGGGAAGGGGGGGGCGTCGCGGGGGAGCGGGGGAGGAAGAGGGGGAGGGACCCGATTGGGGAGGAGGCGGTGGGGGTGGAGGGTGGGGTGGCGGGTGGCGTGTTTGGGGAGATGGGGGATCGGGAGGGGCGGGCGGAGGAGGGCGGCCCATCGAGGGGAGGGGGGAGGGAGGGCGGGAGGCGACTCCCCAGGCCGAGGAAGCGACCGGCGCGCAGTCAGAGGGAGACCGGTCGGCTCAGGGGTGAGGCGGTCTGAGGTGGTTCGTGGGCGGGAACGGGTGACCTGGGCGGGTTTCGATCTCTGTGTGTGTAATACGTCTACAAGTTGCTATGAGTCTTTGTGTGTGTAATACGTCTAAGAGTTGGTAGGATTGGGGCCTCCGATTTTTTGAGCCCCCCCCCCTCCCCCCCCCCACCCCCCCGAGCCCCGCCTTAATCCCCCCCCCCCCCCCCTTCCCGCCCTCCCCTTCCTCTTCCCCCTCTTCGTCCCAGCTCCACTCATCCCGCAACTCCCCGCGGGCCCAGGTGAGGAACAAAATGAAAATTGATGGGCTTGCCCATCCCGGAGTGGTTCGACCCCACGCAAACCCGAGACGGTGACGGGATGCTGTCGTGGGTGGTCTCAGGCCCAGTGAGGTAGTGCGCCTGACTATCCCGGATCCTGCTGAACAAGCTCCTCTTGTAGCTCGATCGGTCACACCGCCATCGCCGTCGGGGAGAGGGGGGACGACACTGCTTCGGCAGCGTGCACCTCGATCCTGTACCGTGTTTGTTATGACCCCCCCCAATGAGCATACCAGTGAGGGAGGGCGAGACGATCGAGGGGTCCCGTACCACGCGGAATCGGCCCTATCCAGTGCTCAAGTGCTCAAGGTCAGCCTCGAGCACGTCGTCGGCAGCGCGGATGCTCGCCCGGCCGGTCGGCCCTCGAGACCTCACAGTGGCGGCCGCCTCTGACAGCGGCGGCAGCCTCCCAAGCTGGCCACGCATCATGCTGCGCTTCGCGGCAATCGCGTAACGGGAGGCTCGCTGGCTTTTTGTGGCTTTTTGGACGGCTTTTTTGGATTCTCCCGCCCTCCAACCCCTCTCTTGGCTTTTTTTAGCTTAGCCTTCGATGTTACTTGTTTTTCCCTCCCACATCGCCTGGCTCGCCGTCCTCCCATCCCTGTTGATTTGTTTCTTTCTTTATTACATCGCCTGGATAAAAAATCTCTCTCTCTCGCCTGGCTCGGAAAATAATTGATCTCACCGAATACCACGTTCGGATCGCTCCTCATCGCAAACCCCGTCAGCAGTCCTCCTCCGCAATGTAATTAAAAGCTAAAGAAAGAAAACCAACGAACACATCCAGCTCATCACTCGGGTCTCTATGGTACCTCAACGACACCGACGCCACGGATGCGGTTATCCTCGCTTGCTCTCGTCACGGTCGGGCTCCTGTGCCTCCGGTGCAACAGATGCTCCGCCCTCCCGCTCAGCGCGCGACCGCCCACTGCGGACACCGACGCACTGCGCCACTTCCGAGCGGTCGTTTCCCGGGCGCGGTCTGAGTCGGTGCCGGACGAGGAGGAGCGGCTGCCGCTCACGCCGTGGTATGTGACCGGCACGCTCCTCTTCAACCTCGCTGCCCACCTCGTTGCTACGGGCGAGGTGTGTACCGTTCTCAACATGCACTCGCCGTCGCTCTATCCGCTCGGCGTTGCGGGCGGAGGCTCGCTCGGCCTAGCGCAGGTCCTGGTGTGGGGCGTGCCCGGTGCCTTCTCGATGGCGGCCGTCGAGCTGTGGCGGTGCGGCGACGACTGCGCCGTGCCGGAGGACGATGCGGACTGCCCTCGCTGCTCGGCGCTCGTCAGCCCGTTGCTGATCGGGACGGCTCCAGTCGCCGCCGTGTCTCGCGTGCTACTAAACGAGGCGGGCGTGGGGGAGCGGGTGGTGCGCGTGGTGCAGCAGTCGAGCGACGGGGCGAGGCAGGCCAGCACGGTGGCCCTCGCAGCCGGGGGCGCCCTCGCGTCTTGCGCGTGGGCGCAGGGCGTCGTGCAAACCTACCTGCAGACGTGGCTGCGGCAGGCGGCTGCGGCGGCGGCCACGGCGTGCTTTGACGCGGCGCAGGCCTCCTCGAGCGCGGAGGCCATCTCCAACTCGGCCGCGACACTGCTGACGGTGCGAGCGGCGCTTGCGCCCGCGGCTGCCGTCCTCGTCACCGCCACGCTCGTCGTCGCCTTTGAGACTGCGACGGCGAGCGTGCTGCAGCCGGAGGCCGTTGCGAGGGCGCGGGCGACGGAGGAGGCGCTCGAAGCGGCGCGGGAGAAGGCGGGCCTCTTCTTCGCGCTCGAGGCGCCGCCCGAAGAGGCGCGCCGGAGGGCGGTCGCCTTTGAGGCGGAGGCAAAGCGGTGGAAGCTGGCGAGGGAAGAGGCGGCGAGGCGAGACACGGTCGCGAGTGCGCTGCGCGCCACCGTCGCAGCGTCGGTCTTCGCCGCGAGCGGCGGCTGCCTGCTCGCCCCCGTGGTTGCTGGCCTCGGCGTCGCCTTTGACCCGCTGCCCCTCTGGGACCGCGCCAGGGGGCAGTGGGAGGGGCTCTCGGCGCACCCCACGCCGCCCGTCGAGTGGGCCGCCTACTTCTCCCTCTGCGCCGTCGCGTGCGGGTGCGCGTCCGTGCTCTGGTGAGGAGACGGGGCAGCGTCCGCCGCGGCAGCGACTAGCCGGCGACCTCTCGCGCGAGCCGACAGAGCGCCTGCGGGGGGGCGCCGAATCTTATTTAGACGCACGACTCATTAGACTCACACGCCACGAGTGACCCGGTGCACACGCCGGCCGCGCACAGGCCACAGCGCACAGGCCCACAAGCACAGCCCCGCCGAGGCAGAGTACATGTATAATAAATCCCGCTCAGGCTTGGCGTCCGCTATCGCACATCTGTTCTGATGCGTTTCTGTGTTCTCTCTGGTCTCTTAGTCTTGACCATAGAGCTGTCAAACGTTAAGAGCTGAACAGTGTTGCTAGTGTTAACAGTAACAACAGAACAACAGTGGGGCTCCCCAACAACAGTAGCTAACGTTAGGCCAGCTGAACAACAATAAGGAAGGCCTGGCAGTGACCCACGACGATCTCCAGCGTCCAGTGCGGGTAATACCCGAAAATACCTGGAAAAACCCAGGTATTTTCGGGTTTTACCCGGGTTTTTTGGCATTTTCTGCTTGCTGACCACTGAACAACAGTAACAACAGTAACAAACAGTAACAGCTTGGGCTGGGGAGAACACTTGAACAACGTTGAGGATTTCAGCCAACAATAGTGCAACTGTTAGGCCCAAAGTTAACGTTTGACAGCTCTACTTGACCACTTGTGGGCCTATTATAATACAGAGAACAGGCCGCTCGGAACGGACGCAAGAGCGCTCGTCCTCGCGAGACGCGACGAACGACGAACCCCGCATCCCTGCGGCTGCGCCTCGATCGAGCCTCGACGAACATCGAACACTCTGAGTGATACACACACGACTCACGAGTCGGGCTCTGGGCCGGCGCGGGGGCCCCAGAGGGTGTCCATGCGGAGGGGACAAGGGGTCCCATGGCCCGCCGCAGGCGCCGATTTTTTCGGGATATGTTTCTTTTTTATGAGATTTTTACTTGTTTTCATGGGAATTCTCGGCGAACTTGCGGCCATGCTATCACGCCTTGCGACATCCTTTCGGCGCTGCTGACCGTGCCATGCTGCACAATTGATCACCTGCATAGCTCGCGGCCTTAGTATCAAGCATTCAGTGACGACCTGATCGTACGGCCAGTAGGAAGGTGTCCTTCCATCGTGTGCACGCTTCTGGCGCAATGCGCGTCGCCTCGGATTGGCTGCTGGCACTCTCGAGGCTATGCCTACACAGCCTCGCGCGCATGGGCAGTCAAGAGGGACCACGCACCTTCTCAGGACAGCACCGGTGCCTCTCTCTTGGACCGGCAAACTTGGTGGTCTAGTGTCACCAATGTGGGACCAGTGCGGCATCGCGCCATCGACAGCTCTGAACTGCGCCTCACCACTGACCGGAATGGCCGCCAAGTGGGTCAGCACCGGTCGCACATTGTGGCAGCAGTCGGCAGATCATCTCTGATAGCTAGAGCAGCAGCGTCAGGGTCGCAGGGTCGGATCGTGTCAAGCCTCTCGCCCGGCCGGCCGCGTGCAGACGTCGGCCTGTCTGCTGTCTGGAGTGATCTGTCGGCGGTCAGTACGACCGATCAGGTTGGAGTTTTCTCATGCTTGGAGGGTCTATCTGTACTCCTCGAGATCTCTCCAAATCTGCCCTCTAATCAACCGTAATCATTCGGGAAGTTGGTAGTATGAGCGAGTATGAGCGCCGGAGCCCCGTTTCCGCACTGCGGCGCGGGGGCTAGGGCGCGGGGCGGGGGGCGGCGCACGGTGTGGGCCGGGGGCCCCCGCGCCACCCCAGAGGAGTCGGGGCAGTCCGCGCTCGAGGGGCTCGAGCGTGCGTGACCACAATATGTTCTTTCGAAGAATCTCGATCGAATATGTGGTACAAACAAAAGGTCGACGGGATGGGGGAGCTCGGGGTGTCAATGAAGGTACGACGCACCGTTGCAGTCGAGCACTGCGCCCGTCGACCAGGCGCCCTCCGGACTTGCGAGGTGGAACACAGCAGCGGCCACCTCTTCCGGTGACCCCACGCGTCCCCACGGGCTCTGGCTGCGGATATCGTCGCCGCGCGGAGAGGCGAGCACCTTGCGAGGAGGGTGGCACATGAGGGAGAGAGCGGTTTGTGGCAGATCTCTGGAGAGAGGTGCGGATCATGCACCTCGGCTGCCATCTCGGTCGCTATGAAGCCCGGTGCGACGGCGGAGACGCGGATGCCGTGCGGCCCGAAGGCCTGAGCGAGGGAGCCGGTCAGCGAGTTGAGGCCCGCCTTGCTCGCGCCATAGGCGGCTGCGATGGGTTCGCCGCGGTAGGCGCCGCGAGACGAGACAAAGACGACAGCGCCGCCGCGCCCGTTCTCGCGAGCGGCGCTTCCGAAGGCAAAGGCAAGCTCGGCGGGCGCTGCAAGGTTGGTGCGAAGCACGCGCTCAAACGACGAAGACCAGTCCGCCGCAGATGTTGTCTCGACTGGATGTTCCTCATAGACACCGTGGTTGATTATCATGCAGTCCAACGCCTCGCCGTAATCGCTAACGGCCGCCATCGCGTCCGCCACGAGCTTCCCCGGCGCACCCGCCTCGTCGAGTGCAGACTGGATGATCGCGTGGCCGGTCCCAGGAAGCGACTCGCGAACCGCCTCTGCCTGACGCTGATCACTTCGAAAGTGAACCAGGACGCGGTCGCCGTTGGCCGCGAACCGTTGGCAGCACGCGGCGCCGATTCCGCGGGCGCCGCCGGTGACGAGGACGGTGCGGCGCCGCGGTGAATCCGACGCCGTCGAGGCGAGGAGGAGGCCGCAGAGCGCTAGCAGCGACATTTTTACACACAAAATAATGCCGCGCGTTTTATGCTCGCCGCTTTTCTTTCCCTAGGGTGGGCGGCGGCTAGCGCATCACACCCCTCTCCTTAAAATCCCTGTGTGGTGGCGGCGTGCCGTCCTCCCATCCCTCCCTTGTTTGTTTGTTTTCTTTCTTTGTTTCTTTTTTTCTTTAAGAGGAGTTGCGAGTGAGTAGTGAAGTAGTCAGTCGTGCTAGTGTGCGCCAATTCACGTCGGAAAAAAGGAGAATTCGCGGGTGCAGACCCCGCCCAGGA